TTTATTCGTACTTCAGTCCTTTGACTTTGCCTAAATTACTTTTGCCAAGTTTCAATAGGTTATTTGCTTCGCGAATACAGGGGCCCTGAGCTGCCTTTGAGCGAATTTCAATTATAACCTCTCCACCCCACTCGACTGATCCCTTCGTTCCCATATTTTTTCTTTGTTTATCTTACAAACAATTTGTAATTATGTAAATAGAAACTAAATTAACTTCTAGATTGGTTTTGTTGTGCGAACTAAGAAAACAAATTTACACACAATTAAAATTAGGGGCTGAGTTCCAAGCACATTGGGTTCCTGTTCTACGAAGTCAGAATTTTAGTTTCTACGCGTTATTTTTCTACTTTTAGTGTGCGTCGGGACAAAACAAACTTCCCAGCAAATAAAACTGGCGTAAACCATTTCGCTGCGTGGCCAAATAAAAAGCCGAAGTGTAGGTTTTTCCGTCGCAATATTATGATAGAACAGTAAGCCTATGTAGATAGTACGCGATTGTATAGCCGAGATTTCGCCGAGGGAAGGCTCCATTGTGCTAACCCTCTTACCGCCCCTCCAACCAAGGGTAAGCTGGAGCGGTTAGCGTCTAACTCGCTTACAAACTTGCCAACTGAGTGCTGCTTAACATAACTTTATATTTAACTAGCTTTCCGCCCGCGGCTTCGCCCGCGTGGAATTTTGTCTGTCACAGAAAAACTTTATCGCGCGCGTCCCTGTTTCAAAAACCGGGATAAAAACTATCCTATGTTCTTTCTCGGGACTCAAACTATCTCTATGCCAAATTTCATCAAAATCGGTTGCGAGGTTTAAGCGGGAAAGCGTAACAGACAGACAGACAGACAGACAGACAGAGTTACTTTCGCATTTATAATATTAGTTGGGATTAGTTGGGATAGTTGGGATCACGCCTGGTATGGCTTTATTACCTTCGCTTATTTGGTTGTTAGTATATTGGCTATTGTAATCAATCGATTCAACGTAACAAACAATGCAATGTAAATTACATAATAAAAATATTCTAATTCAGCAAAGTGATTCGAGTTACGTGAATTAAATAACAATACTTCTAGCGTGATGTATTGTAATAAAATGTAGTTAGTTCTGCTTAATACATAAAATCGATATTGATAATAAAAAAACAAAATATGCCGAGGAAAGAAATGAACTTGTACACGGAGCTAGGTTGTCTTTTAAAGTAACTTGTAAATGCGAACGAGAGATATAGGATACGTCCTTAGTGACTTTTCAAAAAGTTTTAGCCAAAGCTACCGAAATTAATTTCTCACAATATGGCAACTACATACTAGAAAATACTGTCACTGGAAACCACACTATTTTCTTTACGTAGGTAAATCAGGACGCAGAGGACCCAAAATAAACGTTTATGACTAACGTCAAAGTCACTTGCGAAAAAAGATTCTGCCTATTTTTACGCAACCTCACAATGAAAATGTCGTTTGTTTGAAAAAACTGTGCGAGTGCGCGGCCTAGATTTGCATTGCCATTTCACTTCTTGTATCTGAAGCTTTTATCGGTTTGAAAATAGTCATAAATGTCAAATAAATTGCCTAAATAAATAAGCAGCGGTCACTCGATTATAGCTTAATCATCATGGATGCATGGTTTCCCCTTTCCTATCATCATAAAAACAAAAGCCTATAAAACATTGTACTTCATTATCTTATAATATGCTATCAAACACAAGGTGGGACAAGCCTATTACGTAGATAAAATGCTTTATCCATAAGCTATCAATGAGGTGTCCATGAAAAATTACCTTTTTTATGGCTTTCGATTCCGTATAATAGAACTATTACTCAAGGTGTATTTGACATTTGTTATTCAAGTAGGCACATTGTCCTGTGTACAACTGGAACCATTATTTAGTTCCAATCTTAGATACAAGTGCTGTAGCAAGTGTGTGTAGTATTATCTCATAAGAGGCGTGGTATGAATAAATTACAACTATTGAAATTAGTTAACACGTTACCGCTACATCGGATGATATATTTACCGGTTCGTTTGATGCCGCAGAATCGCGAACTTTCGACAATGACCTGCAAAATAACTTGATTGGAATGCGCAAGTTACCCGGTAACGCCCCTAAAGTTAAAACATTTTCCGTAATATCCGAGAAGCATTCCAAATTTCACCAAGTTTACATTCCGCCGAGGTCATATTTGACTTGTAAACCGATACACGCCTGTGTAATAACACTGGTCAACAAAAAATCAAAATGAAAATGGTGCCGAGATTCTGTTGATAGTTTATTATTAGGTGTGTATTAGTAATAATAAAAATATTTTTCTTTTTTTTTTCCTACGTGTAGTTTTGGATCTACCCTCAGTTTTAAAATTTAGCTTTAATTGGTACTTTGGTTGCACAGTTTGTAGTGTTATCGGTACATTTTTATAAATGCATTTATTTTAATATCATGTCTACATTGCCAAGAAGTTGTCTCAATAATCAAAATGTACTTTTGTTACATTTGTGGTGTGTACACAGTTAAAAAGTTCAAAAATTCAGGCAATATTTTATTAAAAGTGCTTATTTTTCTTACTTTAAGTCGGAAATTGTGGTTGTATTCAAGTCGTGGATACCCAAAATTGTTTGTATAATCTGCTGTGAACACTTAAGGCCATATTACAATGGTCAAAGAAGCCGTAACATGAAGTTCAGAGTGGAGAAAGTGAGGAAAGAACAAAAAAAAATCCTAGTTTAAGCATATTTTTTTTTTAAATTAATTTATAAAGTAACTAATTTTTAATGGTCTATAAAAATCAAGGTACTGATTTCTTAAGTTCCATGGACTATTTGGAACGATTTGCATAGATTTTGTTAATTAAAATTACAATTTTTTTTTCGGAAATCACTAGCCCAGTAACTACTCTGAAATTGTGAGACATTCCTTAAAAACTCAGGATGTCATAATTTTCATCAAAGAGCACTACCTCTACAGTCATCTTGACCAATTCCCAGAGAATCTTGGGTCACTATAGCATGCTATAGCTAAGAATAGGGAGAGCGATGCTATCAAGACCTAAAAACCATTGGAAGAGAGGTACCAAGGCAGATGGGATCGGTTTATGATGGCTGATTACTGCTGGAGGATGTAACGTGATAGTTCCATTACACCTCATTCACAAAAGTCGTGGAAAATAAAGTTTTTAAGCATTTAAAAATATTAAAACGCTGATTTTGGTCAAATTTTGTATTTTTCTATACACGTCAAAATCTTGAAAACCACACGTAAGAAATCAACAAATTTGCTACTAAAGCAACCAGCAAAAGGTCCTCAATCAAAAAATATATACAGTTCCTTGGCACCAAAACCACTGTTGACCAGTGTAATTGCTATTATGATGGGCGTGCCCACATAGCGGTAGATTAGACCCTGGCTGCCCTGGCTATAGCCCCCAGGAACTGTTTTTACGACTAATAAAATCCTTATAGCCGTACGCTAGGCTATAGAGGTAAACTTTTCGTAATAAACTAGAAAAATAAGTGGAACGTGGCTCTCCCAGCCTACCTACAAAAATTATACTTAGTACCAGTTTTCCTTATAGCGCCTAGGAAGCCGTTTATTCTCGAGTAGGTACTTTGTTCTTAATGTTTCTCGTCTTGCGTCTTGAAAATAATTGGAGAGGTTCAACTGTGCCCGGAATTTATGGAATTATGCTAAGTCATTCACAGAACGTTTTCAGATGTGAAATCTTTGTGTTTCATTTATTTATTTAATATTTCCGTTGTCTTGTTGATCAAAATGCTTAGATTGATCTAACATAATTTACTAGTTGATAGTATACTACTCGTATAATTTCAAAATTACAGTAGACATTATAAAGACCAAACGATAAAATTTACATGTTACCTATGCTGTGTTAAACAATTTGCATCACAACATTCCAGACGGACGTATTTCTTCCTAAACGACTAAAAATATTTTGTCAGGAAATTAATGTTGCGTTAGAGTTTACTCTCGGAGGCTGTAAGTGCAAATCACTCGAATTCTTATCATTCCCTTCTTCATCCCACCTCATTAATCACGCTTAAAAGTCCTTTGAATATATTTTTATATCATCGTATTTAAATTTGCTCTTTTTGTAAAAAAAAGTACGCACCAAATCAACTCTACCGATTTCCAATATACTTGTAAAGCCTTGTACGTGTATTATCATTAACAACAATCTTGAATGATTTGCTATTATGAGTTTAAAGTTTTGGATAGATTAATACTACGACGATTGGTCTTTGAATACGTGTCTATTTCTCTCAGCTATATTGGTGTCGAAACGGGTTCGAAAACTATTTTATGCATTTTCTCAAAGAGTAACAACTCAAGCGGCTACGTTATATTGGCACACTATCCAAAAGGAGCATAATGCTATCCCCCAAGTGGTTTTCGCGACAGTCCAAAAGAGGCAGCTCGAAAGCTATTTTATTCGAGTCCAATCGTTATGCGGCAGCACGCGCCGCTAACTGTGTAACAGTGCCCATTTCCGTCTGTCGTCCCGCTATAGCATCGTATCGTATTCGTATCGTAACAAATTTCTGCCTATATTTACACGTGTTCTCACGGGCTCAAAGGGGAAGGAACAATGACTAAATTAACGGTCTCATCTCATTTAGCCTCCTCTCGTGTGCCTCCGCTTTGTATCTTACAAATTTGTGCAAATATTCATTCTATTAGGTGCGCTGAATTTTCTACTTTCCGTAATTACTTTTATACTGTTCTTTTTTAATTTAATGAACGCTGAAATTGCATTAAGGAACTCCATTAAAGTTGAAGTATTTTGTATTTTAAATCTTATTAATAAAACATCAAACAATGACATTAAATACTTAATATTAGACAATGACTTAATTAAACCACAATCATGAGCCAAACAAAACCAATGGCATCATTATTGTTGTTTGTTCAATCACCACAGACATGTTTGCGGGTCATCCAATACAATTTACATGATGTTTGCTAAACAATCCCTTCCCATTGTCCTCAGATGAATATGATGAGCTTATGAGACCGCCAGTTGCCAACTATGGGAGTGGCGACTATGGAGCGCGCGCGGTACATAACGTGCGCGCTGCTGCTACTGTGTCCTCTGGCGCTCAGTCGGCACGATGACGACTTCGCCTTCGACAACAGCGAGGAGTTTCAGGTCAGTAGAGTTTGTGTTCATCTGTACTTTTAAAGTGAGTGACAGTTGTTGCCAACTATGGGAGAGGCGACTATGGAGCGCGCACGGTACATAACGTGCGCGCTGCTGCTACTGTGTCCTCTGGCGCTCAGTCGGCACGATGACGACTTCGCCTTCGACAACAGCGAGGAGTTTCAGGTCAGTAGAGTTTGTGTTCATCTGTACTTCTAATATGAGTGAAAGTTGTTGCCAACTATGGGAGCGGCGACTATTGAGCGCGTGCAGTACATAACGTGCTCCCTAGTCCCTATTGATTCTGTGATAGTTGACTCTACGGTATCGATATGCTAACAACTTCGCTTTCAATGACAGTAAACCTTCAGGCCAGTATTTAGACTGTTGCTAATTACGAGAGAGGCGGTAAGGAAAGCCGTGAGGAGAACGAGGTTGACATTCCTCCTTATTGCGATTGTGGCCACCTACCTTCGTATGAAACTTGGATTTACCGTTCAACTAATGCAAAATTTTACGTAAATATTGCATCTTAAATCCAATCCGAAACTACTATGTACGTTTGTATAGTTTCAATCGCTTTATCCGTGACATACGACGCGTGCCAAACTACTAACGCTTCGACACGACACCACGGTGAAGAGAATAGGTTAGTAGAGTGGACAATTCGACACGCAAAGCATTTCTTTGTTACATATAAATTATAGCTATAATAAGACGTAGTAATTTGCGAAACGCTATGAACATTTTTCCAATCAATCTTGTATTTCTTTCGAAGTACATTTACGCTCGTCTAGAATGTAAAGAAAACTAAAAGGAATTCTATGCCCATAATGTTACCTATTCGGTATATGAAGAAATTATTTTTACCTTCCACGTAATAGGTACTCGTAGTAATTCGCCTTCATAAATTCCTATAAATGTAAGCCCAAAGGTTTTCATTCCTTTCAGCTAACAAATTACTGATTTGTATTATTTTCTTTCAGGTCGAGCTAACAGCAAACCATTCAGAAATAGCAAAAAACGGCCTAAGAAGGTTATGGGGTGTTCCTGACACATCGGCCTACGTGGGACATCTGTTCCGCATGGAGATACCTAAGGAGGCGTTCTCCGGCGAAGTATCGGCTTATAAGGTAAAGCTCTTACTTTCGCAGAATTAAAGCGACTACAAGTATTACTTACTTCGTATTACGAGTAAGGTCTTGTTATACGACGTACGTACGTTATAAGTATGAATACCTGTGTAAATTTTATACACCTCTACCTCTTTTCAAATATTAATTCCAAACCTTTACAAACTTAACAATGAAGTAAGAAATAAGTATCTTTATAATAAATATTTACAATAGCTAAATGACCCAAATACTGACTAAAATTATAGACATAGTACTCAAAAGACAGGCTACATTTCCACGCTGAATTTTATATTAAAATGTATTCTTACAATAAGGACATTGTTCTATTTGCGGACCGACCCAATTTAAAGTTCAGGGCGCATCTGTCGTGATTTTGGTTTGCGACTAAATTGAAGCAGACCGTTGAAAGGGGTTGTGGCGCTGTCACCGTAGTGGCTTAAGTAATGGACGTGTACCTATACAAAGCCGTTTTATTTCTATATACCAGTGGTTGCCAACCTTTTCTGGACTAAGGACCACTTTGATTATTATTGATGTTTGCAGGAACCATTTAAAATCCGTAGGTAATTAAAGTGAAAAAAAAAGTCTGTCTAAAATAAGCATCATTTAAAAGAAGACATCTTGATTTAGAAAATCAAATACGATACATTCGTATTAATGATGTAATATTTTTTAAGCGTGCATTCTTCTGTACAAGTTCAGTATATTCTCATGACACGAGAAAGTCAATCGCTCGCGAAATTTAAAATCGTTCGCGGATCATATTTCAACTCCTGCGGACAACCGGTGGTCCGAGGACCACTGCTTGAGAACCCCTGCTATATACAGCCTGCGAAAGTGACTTCTTTTGTTTGTTTATTCCTTTGTTTTCTTGTTCCACTTTCACGTCTGAACTGTTCGGCTAATCTCCATGAAATCGCACGTCTACCCTTTTCCGAGTAAGAGCACAATTGGTTCCGCGTACATAAAAGGGGGAGGCAAGGAGAGTAATGGACGAAATAGTCGTAATAAAATTATACGCTGAATTCCCAATTATATTAAAAGAAAAAAAAGTAAGAACAAGCTTTTAATGTTCTAAAAAGACGAAAATAAAATAAATTCTATCAAACTCATTAATTTACTCAATTTATATGACTAAAAGCAAAGCTACTCGCGTAAACTTGCATAGTTACATTGCGAGTTAAAAAAGCTTGTAAAAATGTTTTCCCAAATGCAATGGTATTGGTGCTCATTGAACTTGTTGACGCTTTAGATGTGCAGCTGTTTACTTATTGAAGATGCAAAGTCCAAGGTATTGTTATTTACCCAATAAAAAATAATCGTCTGCAATGAGGGCTATCGTATTTATACTTAACAGTTGGCACCACTGGCGATTGACAGGACCTTACTCTACAGTGGCGCCATCTTGATGAGTGCAAATGCGATAGTCCTCCTACCACTTTAGCGCTCACAAGTTGGTGCCACTGTCTTCGCCACTAGCAAGTGACAAGACCTTACTCAACAGTGGCGCCAACTGGTGAGCGCAAAAACGATAGCCCTCATTGATCAATGCCAATGAAGTTACTCCCTATTTTACTTATGGAAAACTAACCTCTCTATTTTAAACTTCCCGTTTCTCCCCGATATGGGTAAAGTTGAATGGTTAAAGTTGTCAGTGAAATCAATAGAGCCGGTCACATTTCCTATTCCTTTTTCACTCATGAATTTCGTTGCAAGCTCCAACTTTTTGCTTATGCCAGTTTACACAAATAATGTTTGTTGGCGCAAATGAGTCAATACGAATTTTGAAGTTTGTTTGCGATTTCTGTAAAAGATTATTCTTGGAAATCCTTGAATCACGGTCATACTCACTATGTAAATCTAAATTACGTAGAATATAGAAAGCAATATTGTAAACACAATTTCTAATTCAAGATATGTTTATATTTTCTACTTGTTTCCTTATTCTTCACTCCTTTTACGGGTTCTGGACTAGATTGAAAGTGTAATTAGATTTCTAGATGGTACATGTACCTACCTAATGACAAGCTTGAATCGACCTGCCCCCTTAGACAAAACGCACTTTTTGATCGAATCGAAAATCGAATCCGTCAAAACTCCATACAAAAAAGGGGCTTTTCGACCACTTTTCGACTGGTTTGCGATTATAATTTGCACTTTGTCTAGACCCACTGATTTCAGTAAAGTAATATGCCTCTAAATATCGATTCCTTGCTTTGGAGAACGTAATAGTGCAATGTCAGACGGTGACATTTATGCCTGACTTCAAGATTGCGACGCAAACCCCCGGATACATCTTGATTCATCAGACTGGTCTGTTGCTGTAAAATACCAGGTCTATTTCGCCACATCGTTAATGGTAGACCATCTGAGAATGGAGTCTGTTTCCCTGTTCTTATCTATCATTATTTCCACAGGTCCGCCGCGAGGATGGCCGACGCATGCCGACCTGGCTGGCCGTGGACTCGAAGCACGGCCTGATCAGCGGCATTCCGCAGCAGACGGACCTCGGACCGCACTCCTTCACCGTCACCGCGCACGGCCGCACCAGAGGCCTTACCGCCACCGACGCGTTCACCATCGAGGTAGGAAAACTTATCATCATCATCAAGTCACTTAGTTTCCACTACTGGAGAACGACCCTTACTGGCCTTGGACTCGAAGCACGGCCTGATCAGCGGCATTCCGCAGCAGACGGACCTCGGCCCGCACTCCTTCACCGTCACCGCGCACGGCCGCACCAGAGGCCTTACCGCCACCGACGCGTTTACCATCGAGGTACGAGCACTTTATACTCATCATCATCAGAACACTTAGTCTCCACTGCAGGAGAAAGAATCTGGTAGTACGTGGACTCAAAGTTCCGCCTGATCAGCGGCATTCCGCAGCAGACGGACCTCGGCCCGCATTCCTTCACCGTCACCGCCCACGGCCGCACCAGAGGCCTTACTGCTACTGACGCGTTTACCATCGAGGTACGAGCACTTTATACTCATCATCATCAGATCACTTAGTCTCCACTGCAGGAGAAAGAACCTGGTAGTTCGTGGACTCAAAGTTCCGCCTGATCAGCGGCATTCCGCAGCAGACGGACCTCGGCCCGCACTCCTTCACCGTCACCGCGCACGGCCGCACCAGAGGCCTTACTGCTACTGACGCGTTTACCATCGAGGTAGGAAAACTTACTGTTCATCATCATCAGGTCACTTAGTCTCCACTGCAGGAGAACGACCCTGGCTGGCCGTGGACTCGAAGCACGGCCTGATCACCAGAGGCCTCGCTGCCATCGAGGTCGGATTCATCATAATGTCATCTGGTTTCCAGTTCCACTGCAGGAGAACGTTCGTTTCCACCAAATGACGTCCACTGCTGGACAAAAGCCTTCCCCAAGGATTTCCAAAACGACTGATCCTGCGCTGCCCGCATCCAGGTGCTTTAGATGACCTTCACAAATCGTCGTTGGTTGGTCTCGTATCTATTAGGTACTAAATGCATGTAAGTAAGTCACCAGGTTTGCAGCAACGCAGAACTATCGCTACCCTTGACATTAGACAATACTGATAAGTAACCCAGCATGTGACTCAAAAAACCTGAGTGTAAGCGATAATACCGTTGTTCTTACATATGCACGAAAACAATAGGCACATTTCAATAATATTTGCATGTTATTTATTCATCATACTACGAGTATACCTACAGTATGTCAGTCACCAGGGACAAAACATCGCATATCAATTGAACTCAATTTGTGATAGTTCCACATCAACCGCTAATTGATTTAGTGAGATGAAACCAGACTGTCTGTGAGCGGTAAACAAATTGACGCTGAAGCTCATATATTAAGCACCTTGTTAAAAATTCAGCTTCAAATCATATAAAATCAGATTACAAATTAGGCTCGTTATAGAAGCGAATGAAGTTATTACGTTCTCGAATGAAATTTTCAATGGGATATACATAATTTTAGGATGTAAATGGAGATTTTCGTCGAAACGCCATAAGATTCCTTTAGAACGGAAGTTTTAAAGGTCTTAGTTGAAACAAATAAGATTCAGGCTTATGGCAATTTATTGTGTCTCGGAAATTAATTGTAGCACAAAATTGGGGAAGATTTATGTAATGCGACCGGCATTTCATTATCCTCTAATTTTCGGCAATTAATACAGGCTATTGTTTTAGGTTTCATTGTATCAATACAATTATTTTAAGGAAGTTTATGTTGGCAAATGGCAAATTTTTAGCAAACAAGTTACCTTTAACAAACTCAAATTGATTTTACCCAGTGTTTGGCTACATCCATGGCTCGATTTACATTATCTATAGACTTTTGTATTAATGGCATTCCATGAATTTCTAGGTGAAGAAAGCGGAAGACAAGCCCCACTCCAAATACGGCACGTGTAAAGGCAACGAGAGGCGCCTGGTCCTCGTGATCCTCATCGACGGCGCCTTCCACCAGATCGCGCCGCGGCAGCGGATACGCGCGCTCATGGAGCTCGCCAACTTCATGGCCCTTGACTGGGTGAGTCTTCAAGGAGTTATGATGACCACGGAATACAAAGCTACTGGTACTTATGATCCTGATCGACCATGTCTTCTAGCAAACGCGCAACATCAAAGGACGCGTGATGTTTGGAACTCGCAAACGTCATGGCCCTGTATTCATAGCCGGAGGAATAAGGCTCTTCACATGGAAATGTATTAGCCACAGCAACAACAAGCGACTGGTCCTTGTGACCCAATCCAGCTAGTATTCGCACCGGACACGTGGTGTCCGCATTGGATCGAGTCTTAAGTTCTTCGCGCAATCGGATTGCGATGGACCTAGCTATTGATGTAGCTTACAGTACAGCAGATTGCAATGCGGTAGCGAACTCGTTAATTTTATGGCCTTAAGTGAGTAAACGCTCTTCAATGTTCGTCTTAAGACTCTCATTAATCATGACTCACCGCTGGTATAGAATATCATTTACTGAAGTCATTAATATTCCAGCGGCTGCTGCCCGCCGTCGATCACTCGCTCGATCGCATACTATCTATCACAGACACTTGTTGAGTAATACGCAATCTCCAGATTGATTGACCCTGTCTAGCGGTTATAGACTATTATGACAAATTAATAATAAAGCAAAAATTAATAAATCACTAAATAAAATACGCTAATGCGTCGCCTTACTGCTCCTTCTTGGTTTTGTCAAATAGGATCTTAAAATATTTTTTGTGAGCAGGGCCTGATTTACCCACAGCCACAGGTTAATAAGGCTAAAGTCTAGCACGAACCTAATCCACAAAATGTGGGTTCCAAAAACATTACGTCCTAATAACCTAAGAATGTAGTTAAAAGCCAGTCAAATACTTAAATTTTCTTGTGAAGGGAAAATAAAACGGTGTTTTACGAAAGCTACTACATACTAACATTTATATTGTTTGTTTTCAGGACGAATTCTGGATGGAGCCATACAAGACAGAGTTGGCACAGACCCAGACCACGCTCATGACGGGCCCGGGAACAACTCAGAGGAGGCGTGGAGACGCAACTACTGCTATTTATCTGAATGTAAGTGAATCTTGAATTCTTCTATTAGACCTATTATATTCTACTATTACGACCTTATTAGGTCTGAAGATAGCTGATGAAAATGTCAATGTTTTTACTATTCCCATCTCTCGTTCCCACTGCTGCAACTCCTGTTTAGCCAAGATTTACAGTATGACAATATTATGCTTGGACGGAACAGGTCTTAACATGTCTTTAGAAGCTCGGAATTATTGTTCTTAGCAAGTAATGAGGTTTCAAATTAAGATAAGGGAAAGTAGCTCTCACTTACCTACTTGTAAATTGTGTTTCCTGGAATAAGATAAACAAAAAGATGACAGAGGTGACTAAGGTTTCCTTTGCCACTTCTCTTAAGTTCCGAAGTAGCGGTAGGGCAATACTTGTTGTCCCGACTAGCACTTCGTATGAAAGTTTTTGGGAAGTGTATTAGTGCTTCATAAATAGCCTATAACAGTGGTTCCCAAAGTTGTCTGGGCTACGACTCATCAAATACAAGTTCCCAAACTCGGGACCCACCTAAAGGATAATTTAATTAACCGTTACCAATATACCTAACTGAATAAAGGACTTTTCAATTTACAATCCGTCCGGGCGGCTGACAGTCGCTCGCTGCCCAGTGGTTGGATCGGTAAGGTGGTGTGTCGTTCTACAGGCAAGGCCCACTCAATGTTTGCTCGCGACCCACCATTGGGTCGCGACTCATAGTTTGGGAAACCCTGGCCTATAAACTAACCGCGCATCCTTAACACTGAAAAGTCACTGCATACTAATAATGAATTTAAATTTGATTTAAATGCTTCTTTTTCTTTCCAGGTTGGTTGTGAAGAGAAGCTCTGGGCCCGACACAAGGTCCTGGTAGCAGGCATCCGCGAACAGTCGCGCGACGGGACCCTGGCTCACGTACTAAGGCTGCCGGTCCTCGGCTGGCGGCTGACTGCTGTTAAACCGCTGCCCAGGCTTAAGAGACAGGTGAGAGTACACACTGTATGACGTCACCAGCCAATACTGCTATCTATTGTGAGGAGAAAGGTCCTTATGGCAGGCATCCGCGAGCAGTCGCGCGACGGGACCCTGGCTCACGTACTAAGGCTGCCGGTCCTTGGCTGGCGCCTGACTGCTGTTAAACCGCTGCCCAGGCTTAAGAGACAGGTGAGAGACACTATATGACGTCACTAGCCGATACTGCTGTCTCTATTGTGAGGAGAAAGGTCCTGGTGGCAGACATCCGCGAGCAGTCGCGCGACGGGACCCTGGCTCACGTACTAAGGCTGCCAGTCCTTGGCTGGCGCCTGACTGCTGTTAAACCGCTGCCCAGGCTTAAGAGACAGGTGAGAGAGCACACACTGTATGACGTCACCAGCCAATACTGCTATCTATTGTGAGGAGAAAGGTCCTTATGGCAGGCATCCGCGAGCAGTCGCGCGACGGGACCCTGGCTCACGTACTACGGCTGCCGGTCCTTGGCTGGCGTCTGACTGCTGTTAAACCGCTGCCCAGGCTTAAGAGACAGGTGAGAGAGCACACACTGTATGACGTCACTGGCTGATATTGCTGCTCTGTTGTGAGAAGATACAAGATCCTAGTGGCAAATGCTGTTAAACCGCTGCCCAGGCGAAACATGTAAGAGGGAGTGCACACTGCATTAGTGGATGCTGCTATCTCTATTGTGAGGTGAAATTTCCTGGTGGCAGACTCGTGCTGTAAGCAGCTCTGAGCGTGGCATAAGGTCTTAGAAGAATAGTTTAGTAGTTATGCTATGTAACCCAAGCTTAGATACTCCGATGTGTAACTATAAAATTACGGTCTCCTAACCTTTTGACCTTGTGTACTAACTGCCAAGAGAACCTGAACGAGGCATGAGGTTCTGGTGGCGACAATCATGAGTCACTCTAGCCCCTTGTATCGGTATTAAACCACCGGTCTCATTGAGGCTTCAAAGACGTAAAGCTCAAACATTCCTACCTGAGGCAACGGAATTTTTGAAGTTTAATAAACTACTTTCTTTATTATCCGCCAGTCGAACCTCGACGAAGGCTCCGGCATCGACGACACCTACGACGACGAAGACGACGGCGACTACAGCGGCTACGACGAGGATGCCGACGACGACGACTACAGCCATATCGACATCGGACCCGTGCCCGACCTGGTGAGTGCACACGATCTCTATGCGACACGACGCGATGTGTAAACGGGCTTTAATAACCGATTCACGATACGACGCGTTATTTGTAAACGGGCTTTGATAATTGACTAATGTCTCATTGAAAATAAAAGGCGTACTTGTTTTATAAGTAGACGATCACGACTAAAATACGACGCCACGAGATGTGTAAACGAGCTTTGTTAACTGAGTCATGTTTCATAAAAAAATAAGAGCGTGTTTTTTTAATAAGTCGACTTATTTTTAAGTCAATTGGTCCGCGCGATCTTTTTATTAGTTGACTCACTTTGTAATTGAAAACAACGATGACGACACATTACATCATTAAATCATAATAATTTCATTAAAAACTATTAAAATGTCACTTCGTTTCGTTGGTAGTCTACTCTTTATTAAAAGGTTTCCAAACTAAAAATCTAAAAGTACCTTTCAGTTCATAGGTAATTGTCGTCTTGCAAATTCAAACATATAAAATATAATGTGTGCCTGCGCTAGTTACTGAGACAAACATAGTTATTACTACAACAAGTTCTTTATTCCTTTGAGTTATTTTTTTACTGATGATCTAATATTTTTGTCACAGTAGCTATGCGTAGGATAAATATCGGTATCATGTCGCCCTGCTATGAAATCACCCATTGCAATCTTAGAACCTTCTCATCTTTTCATTCATTGGAAATAGATCAACATCATAGTAAAGAAACTTTTAAGCCCGTAAAATATAAAATAGCGCTCACAAATGGATTCAATTCAACATTGAATCTTCATGATAAATGTATATTTTAGTGCCTTAATAATATGGGGTTTTTGGCTTCCTCATTCGTTTCTTTAAGGCTTATGAAGATATGATATCTGTTTCCAATGAAAGAATACCATAGCCATCCCATCGACATGGAATGCATATCTTGCACTTGTCTCGTCATAGCAGCATTTGTTGGGGACCACATATAGCATGGAATGCGAATGATCTCGTATACTCATCTATGTCTATTAAAGGGTTGGTTTCTCTACCTACCTTCACTAGCTAATAGTGTACACAGAATCCGCAAAAGAAGTCATAAAATAGCTTATTTTATTTTAATCCTTAACACTTTGTAACAAAGTTAAATCTTGTTTTGAGTCGCTAAATAAAACATTTCACTTTCAAATGTGAAAAAGCTCTAATTGTTTTTTATGATTGTATATTCTGTGTATACTATTTCCACTATCAGAATACCTCAATATACCTACCAGACACCCCATATCAAACTTAGGGAGAATTATCAAATTCAAAAATCAAGTAACTTATCATAAATATGGGAACAAAACATCAATTTGCCGCTAAATTAACAATATTCATGACATTCTACATCCATGTCACTCGAGCTCATCCCTCGGTCACGTTCTCATCAAGCCTTTACAAATAAAGGAATAATGTTTTTAAAATGTGAGCTTTGTGTGTGGTTATTCAACATTGTGCTTCGGAACTGCTTAGTGCATCTGTAAATATGGTTTTAACGGCGCACTGTTTGCCAAATAACATCTGAGTTTGCCTACACTGCACATACTTGATGATTACCTCGTAATGTTAATTATTTCGTCAAAGACAGTACACATTAACTACAAATCTACAAACAACTGACAAGGACAAATATGTATACTTACCTAACTTGCGCAAAAAAAAACAAAAATGCAAATTGTAAAACCTCTTGCTCACTTCGTACTGTGTGAGCAAAGACGCTATTCGCAATCCCCTTACATTTGACGAATTTTTTAATGACATTTAACACACGAGGGGTTTTTCTAAATCGGAAACTACCCAAAATACTTACCATCGCCTAAACCTAACCGCCGTCGCCTAATAACCACAGACAATGCTCGCTAGGGTAACGCACATCGGGTGGCAGTACTAACCTAGTGTGTATGTCGCGGCCGCGCGCCCAGGTGGCCCCTCCCTCCTCGCATCCACACCGCCACCACCACGGCGAGCCGCCACACACCACCACCGACACGTTTCAGACCGAGCCCCGGGAGACTACGACTAAGACTACTGACACTCCCACCCCCGCCCCGCCCTCTTCTACCCCTCTCCTCACCACCCAAACCACGCCCACAACCCCCCCACCCCCAACAACCCTCGAAGAAACCACCGCGCGCGAGGAAACCACTCCCGAGGTCGCCTCTACTAATATGTATACCACGGAGGTTTGTCGTAACCAGCTATCCGGCTTTGAGTGTTACTTGTCGCATGTTTCGGTGTGTAGTGTGCTAATGATTGAATGTTTTTTTTATTTATAATATCCTCGGTATTGGAATTGTTCACTGATTATACATGGTGTATAAATTGGTGTGTATAATCATCTGCAAATGTATAAAAGGATGAACAGTTTCAATGCCACGGACTTTATATTATCTACCATTATCCAAGACAACGTTACTTCAATACATTCACATTAAAATACATAACATTATATACATAGAAAAGTATAGCCGGGTAAAATACCTAGTTACATTTATCTTTTATTTTCATACTTCTTTATTCGATTTGGTAAAATGTCACTGCTCTTACATACCTATTACCCATTTGATTAATATTTCCATAAAATATTACTGCATGTATGACTTAGATTGAACTTATTGTTTTTACTTTAATTGAATCTGTCTAGTAGTTAAAATTCAATACTTTAATTAGTTTTGTAGTTTGCTCGTTCCTCAAATAGAAATGTCATGTGATTTATTTGTTAAAATTAATTTAATTACTCACTTCAATAAATTACAATATTGAATAACTTTTTACTTTTACTAAATATCTGGAATGCTCGTTATTACTGCACTTTAGAACTTGGAAGAAATTACAATAAATTACGAATAGNAGCTATCCGGCTTTGAGTGTTACTTTTCGGTGTGTAGTGTGCTAATGATTGAATGTTTTTTTTATTTATAATATCCTCGGTATTGGAACTATTCACTGATTATACAGGGTGTATAAATTGGTGTGCATAATCATCTGCAAATGTATAAAAGGATGAACAGTTTCAATGCCGCGGACTTTGTATTGTCTACCATTATCCAAGACTACGTTACTTCAATACATTCACATTAAAATACATAACATTATGTACGTAGAAAAGTATAGCCGGGTAAAATACCTAGTTACATTTACCTATCTTTTATTTTCGTACTTCTTTATTCGATTTGGTAAAATAAATGATTAAAAACATTTTGTACATAAATAAATAACAGAGCCAAAGTAGCCAACATTACTGCTCTTACATATTACCCACTTGATTAATATTTCCATAAAATATTACTGCATGTATGACTTAGATTAAACTTGTTGTTGTTAACTTTGATTGAATCTATCTAGTAGTTAAGATTCAATATTTATTTACTTTTGTAGTTTGCTCGTTCCTCAAATAGAATTGTCATGTGATTTATTTGTTAAAATTCATTTAATTGCTCACTTCAATAAATTACAACATTGAATAACTTCCACTTTTACTAGATCTGGAATGCTCGTTATTACTGCACTTTAGAACATGGAAGAAATTACAATAAATTACGAATAACTAAGAATGATTCTTAGCATGTGTTCTCACCATAGTTTTTGCTAGATGCGAATTTTCAACTACTGTCCATAATATCATGCTTTCTTCTCCCATTTTCCAGGACCACCCAGTGAAGATAACTCCTTACTCGGAAACCTCATCGGAGAATAACAATGTCAATTATACTCAAGAACTGCCTGTCAGCCCAAGGCTTATTGGTATATCGTCCAACTTGATTCCAGAAATAATTCAAACTACCACAGAACTTGATACGGTATGTATGTCTACTCTACTTACTTTCTTCTTCTTACCTTCTGACTCACTCATGTAGATGATAGAGGAGTTAATACTAATGTTCATAGTGTGGGTTTGACATTAACTGGGATAGTTTAGTGGAGTGGACCACTCTAATATAGAATAGATCATCCATATTTTACAAAGTCTTGATCGAATATAGCCTGATTTGGAACTTAAATTATTGATACAGCTTCAAAGCTTTCCAACTTTAAAATTGGAATCAAAAAATTACTTATGAAGACATAGATTTGTAAATATTCCTGGGTATACTTAACGCCATAAAGTAACTCAATCCTGGATTGCCACCCTAGTCTTCAATCTTTACTCAGAGGTGATGGCAGTAAAATACTTGCTGTAGTTAAATATTGCTGTTTATAAAGATGTTATAGTGATCAATTGATACAATTTTGATTTATTCCTTTTTGGGCTATAAAAACATTTTACTAATGTATCACTAACGTAAAGACAACGACTTAATTAAATTTTACAACATTGAAGATACATAATGATAAATGGAAAGAATGTAAAAATATGAGCACTTGAATGATTTGAAATGATAATAGCATCTTTCTTAACTATGCCTGCCATTTCTTAGTAATCTTTAACCTATCTCAAGTTTACTTGTAAATATGTAAATACTGCGATCGAATCGCACGCTCTCTTCACTGTCGTAAACTCGTTGTCTTCGCGTAACACAACACCTTCGTGAGCGTCGCATGGCACTTTCAGCAAACAATAACAATTCGCGAGACGTTCAAACTGCCGCCGCCTTCCTCATCCGAACTACCGGTCACGGAGACGTCACCAGACGTACCCACTGTACCGGTGTCATCCACACCGGTACCGACTACGGTGCCGATACCGGTACCGATACCACCGGTGGCTAATACCACGGTGCCCACCACTACAACGGAAGCGTCGACCACGCCCACTGCCCCGCCCACTACCGTTCAGGAGACTACGACACAGGTTTGTTGGAAAATTATGTGACAAAAACAATGTGTTTCTGTGACATATTATGTAAAGTGTTTTCATAAAAGATTTAACATTTATTCTTAAAAGAAAGTTAATGTTATTTACTAAAAGTTTCTTTATTTTATGAAAACACTTAACAGGAGTTCGTCACGCTTCATCCTATTTTTTCTTTATTAGATTTATGTGGTGGTGAAATTGAGTTAAGTTTTATTTCACGGGTTTTTCAAAACACTAAAAAGGGAAAATTCATAATCTTTCTTCTATCATAAAACATCTATTCAAACTTTTGGGGATTTGGCTATTAAAAATATTTATTTCAAAAAGTAGGCTTTACTCTTTTCACCTTTTCTTTTGTAACATAATTTAAGTTACCTTGTGTATACATTTTCTAAGGCAGTGATTCTGCTTCCAAAATTATCTACCATAATAAATTCAGAAAAATAAAATTAAAAACAATATTATATTCAGAGATATATTTACCGCAAAATGAAATTAAGGAACATGTACATAAATACGCCGCCGTCTAGGTAGCGCACCGGGTAAAGTGTTCCTCGTATCACTACTCCAAGTTGAAAATGGTGGAACCGATTTGACAAGTTTGTTTAAAATCTAGAAGTCCTATTTTGTCGAAAGAAATAGGTATTACATAAATTTTACGATTATAAACTCACGATTCATTTGAATTTTTTCTCGTTACTAAAGCTAGAAATTAACAATATCAAAAAATATTTCCAGGACATAGTACCTTCAAGCGAAAGGTCGAGCACGATCGTAGGTCGCACGACAGAAACGGTGACCTTCCCTATGCCGGTCACCGTCCCGCTGCCGGTCAACCAGCCGCCGACCCTCAAGCACCACATGAAGAAGCTCGCCATCACTGCCGGCAAGGCCTTCAGGTAGAACTATATAAATAATCTCAGGACTACCCTCAAGTTAAGGGTCGAGCACGATCGTAGGTCGCACGACTGAGACGGTGACCTTCCCTATGCCGGTCACCGTCCCGCTGCCGGTCAACCAGCCGCCGACACTCAAGCACCACATGAAGAAGCTCGCCATCACTGCCGGAAAGGCCTTCAGGTACACACTATATAAATAATCCCAGGACTACCCTCAAGTGAAGGGTCGAGCACGATCGTAGGTCGCACGACTGAGACGGTGACCTTCCCCATGCCGGTCACCGTCCCGCTGCCGGTCAACCAGCCGCCGACCCTCAAGCACCACATGAAGAAGCTCGCCATCACTGCCGGCAAGGCCTTCAGGTACACACTATATAAATAATCCCAGGACTACCCTCAAGTGAAGGGTCGAGCACGATCGTAGGTCGCATGACTGAGACGGTGACTTTCCCCATGCCGGTCACCGTCCCGCTGCCGGTCAACCAGCCGCCGACCCTCAAGCACCACATGAAGAAGCTCGCCATCACTGCCGGCAAGGCTTTCAGGTATACAGAATGTAATATGATACAAAAATTCTCTCTTCGGTCTGAATGGGGTTCTGGTGATCAAGTGCTGGATGTTTTTTTTTGTATCGTCAGGTCATTTAGTCTCCACTATAAGAACAAGATCCTCTCTATGTTGGACTTGGCTACTGATTCAAAGATGTTAGTTGATAGTACTAACTCATGAGCTATGATACTAATCAAGGGGCACAATGGGGCACACTGAAAACCAGCGCCGTGGCCTTCGCGTGGGCCACGACATATGCTGAGTGGGGTCCCGTTGCGGTGGGCATCTTGTTTGTGAATGGGTGGCACTGCTCAGTTTACTCTTGTATTTTATTTTTTCTTCTTCCATTATTATGTGCCACCGTCGTATCTATGTTTTTACCTGTATTTGTGTGATGTCCATTGCTGCATTGTAATAAATGTATCTTTCTTTCTAATCGCGCCCTGGAAAAGTACCCTAGATACGCCAATGCTCCTATAACGCAACTCAGAATATTAAAAACGGCATCTTCTTATTTCCAGATACATCATCCCAGCAGACTTATTCACCGATCCGGAGGAAGGTAGCAATCTCACGTTCACGATGTACGAGGCAGAGAATGTGCCGCTCAGCAAGACTTCGTGGATACAGTTCATTCCCTCGGGACGGGAAGTCTATGGATTGTAAGTTTGTTACATACAACTATGGAATTTAGCTAGAAGTTCAATCATATACTTCCAAAGTTTCAAAAAGTCAAGGGAAATCATAGCCACTTTTGAATGGAGTAAATCCATCTGGTTGAGTTTATTTCTGCATTAGAACACATTATAGGTACCTAAATCATAAAGTACACTCAGAATCGGTTTCACTCTCCAACTTACTCAATTTTCAATCCCGTTAAATCAAACCAGAAACCACAACTTTTACACTATAGCTTAGTACGATAAACACCAAGCCAGGCCATTATATTTAAATTATACTTAAGAATACATTCCATTTTCCAGGCCGCTGGAATCGCACGTCTCCCGCTGGAACTTCATAGTCGAGGCTCAAGACTCCGAAGGTCTGCTAGCCCGAGGTCCTCTCGACATCACCGTCCAACAACACAAGAGTGGTAGAACAGTGAACCACCAGTTCATCATCACTTTCAAGCTTCTCCGCGACTACAATAACACCATCGACTGGCAGATCAAGGCTTTGGAAGGACTGGTTAATCTCTTCAGAGATACGGATATGGATCATTTGACGGTTCTGAACGCGACCCAGAATGGGGATACGTGCGAATTTGTTTGGACCAACGATACGCTCCCGAAAGACCCTGCGTGTCCGATGGATGACATCAAGCGGCTTATGAAGGTTTGTTTGGATCTTGTTTTTAATATAGTAAAACATGGAACATTCTAATGTTGCTATAACAATAAAACATTTTAAGGCTAGGGATACAGGCATTAGTCATTCATCACAGTTATGATTTGGCTGAAACATAGTGGTGATTTATTCAATAAACGTACGTGTACTTTTCTTGGCCAAAGATATGATTGTAAAAAATATGCTGCATTGCTTTGAGAACTTTAAAAAATGTTATCGATTTCTTATAAGATCCAGTTGACATGACATGCTTTAACTGTAAGCCAGAGTTTTTGTTGATATTCACGTGTAACATTTACGGACGCAACGAAGCGATCACAAAATCAAAAACTCATGAGTCCTGAGACCTGAACCACCTTTCGTTCACCGCTTCGAATCCTGTGTACCCCGAATCTACAGCATTACCGCCATTGTTACAGATCATGGAATCCGACTCAGAACCCGGCAGTCCCTCAGCCAGCCTAGCCCGCGCCATGTCGCCCGAGCTCAAAGTGAGCGGCGTGGCGTGGCGCGGCGTGGGCCCGTGCGCGCCGGGCGTGCCCGCCACCCACGCGCCCGACACCTACCCGCCGGTCACCAGGAACCAGGTCGACCACCTCACGGCCACCGCTGGACATCTGCTGCTGTATAAAGTGCCTGAGGTAAGCCCACGCGCCCAGAGACCGTCGCTAGCTTAGAGAATCCGTCGGCTAGCTTAGAGAGTCCGTCAGATATCTTAGAGAGTCCATCAGCTAGCTTAGAGAGTCCATCAGATATCTTAGAGAGTCCATCAGCTAGCTTAGAGAGTCCATCAGCTAGCTTAGAGTCCGTCAGATATCTTAGAGAGTCCATCAACTAGCTTAGGGAGTCGGTCAGCTAGCTTAGGGAGTCCATCAGCTAGCTTAGGAAGTCCCTCAGCCAGCCTAGCCCGCGCCATGTCTCCCGAGCTCAAAGTGAGCGGCGTGGCGTGGCGCGGCGTGGGCCCGTGCGCGCCGGGCGTGCCCGCCACCCACGCGCCCGACACCTACCCGCCGGTCACCAGGAACCAGGTCGACCACCTCACGGCCACCGCTGGGCACCTGCTGCTGTATAAAGTGCCTGAGGTAAGCCCACGCGCCCTAAGTCCCTCAACTAGCTTAGAGACTCCGTCAACTAGCTTAGGGATTCCGCCAGCTGGCTTATAGAGTCCATCAACTAGCTTAGAGAGTCCATCAACTAGCTTAGGGAGTCCATCAGCTAGATTAGGGAGTCCGTCAGCTACCTTAGTAGTCTGTCAGCTAGCTAAGACAGTCCTTCAGCTAGCCTAGCCCGCGCCATGTCGCCCGAGCTCAAAGTGAGCGGCGTGGCGTGGCGCGGCGTGGGCCCGTGCGCGCCGGGCGTGCCCGCCACCCACGCGCCCGACACCTACCCGCCGGTCACCAGGAACCAGGTCGACCACCTCACGGCGACCGCTGGTCATCTGCTGCTGTATAAAGTGCCTGAGGTAAGCCCACGTGTGCGGTATACTTCTAACGTCAATGGAACCTGACTCAAAATCCTGAAGTTGCGCTGAAGGTGAGCCGGCGTGGCCTGGCCACTCCACTGCAGGAGGACGATCCTCCTTTAATTTACAAGAGGGAAAGGAAGACTTGACCTACACTCCTCACGCTGACCAAATGAAGGGGTGACGTTGGGTTATTTTTCAAAAGTGGTCTCTTTCGACATCCACGGGAAAGTATGGGTGGTCCTTTTTTTACTCTTCCAAAGACGGCTCACAGACAAATCTGTGCACATCACACAAAATTGACAAATAAAACAAATGTCTAATCACAAAATCTTAATTAACATAATATGATTTTCTCTTTCCAGGACACATTCTTCGACCCAGAAGACGGCGGTACCCGCAACCTGCACCTATCTCTCCGCTACAACGACCGGTCGGAACTGCCGGCCGGCCACTGGCTGCAGTTCGACTCGCGCAACCAGGAGTTCTACGGACTACCCGCGCCGGGCGATGAAGGCCGCGTGCACTACCAACTGGTCAGTGTTGCCATGTGTATCTTATTGTTACCTCGATAAGGCTAGACCTGTCTATGCTACAACGACCGCTCGGAACTGCCGGCCGGCCACTGACTGCAGTTCGACTCGCGCAACCAGGAGTTCTACGGACTACCCGCGCCGGGCGATGAAGGCCGCGTGCACTACCAACTGGTCAGTGTTGCCATGTGTATATTATTGTTACCTTAATAAAGATACACTTGTCCCCGCTATAACGACCGGTCAGAGCTGCCGTTCGACTCGCGCAACCAGGAGTTCTATGGACTTNGGAAAATTGTATGTGACAGAAACAATGTGTTTCCGTGACATAAGTGTTTTCATAAAAGATTTAACATTTTATACTTAAAAAAAGTTAATGTTATTTACTAAAAGTTTCTTTATTTTAAGAAAACACTTATTAACAGGATTTCGTCACGCTTCACCGTATATTTTCATTTTTTTCTTTATTAGATTTATGTGGTGGTGAAATTGAGTTAAGTTTTCTTTCACGGGTTTTTCAAAACACTAAAAAGGGAAAATTCATAATCTTTCTTCTATCATAAAACATCTATTCATACTTTTGGGGATTTGGCTATTAAAAATATTTGTTTAAAAAAATTGGCTTTACTCTTTTCACCTTTTCTTTTGTAACAATTTAAGATATCTTGTGTATAAATTTTCTAAGGCAGTGATTCTGCTTCCAAAATTATCTATCATAATTCAGTAAAATAAAATTATAAACATGTATTCAGATATATTTTTACCACATAATGAAATTAACGAACACAACATAAATACGCCGCCGCGGCTTAGGTCGCACCGGGTAAAGTCGTTCTCGTATCAACCCAAGTTGGTTTGACAAGTTTGTTTAAAATCTAGAAGTCCTATTTTGTCAAAAGAAATATTACATAAATTTTACGATTATAAACTCACGATTCATTTGTTTTATTTACTCGTTAGTAAAGCTAGAAATTAACAAAATCATAATATACTCGTATTTCCAGGACATAGTACCTTCAAGCGAAAGGTCGAGCACGATCGTAGGTCGCACGACTGAGACGGTGACCTTCCCCATGCCGGTCACCGTCCCGCTGCCGGTCAACCAGCCGCCGACCCTCAAGCACCACATGAAGAAGCTCGCCATCACTGCCGGCAAGGCCTTCAGGTACACACTATATAAATAATCTCAGGACTACCCTCAAGTGAAGGGTCGAGCACGATCGTAGGTCGCACGACTGAGACGGTGACCTTCCCTATGCCGGTCACCGTCCCGCTGCCCGTCAACCAGCCGCCGACCCTCAAGCACCACATGAAGAAGCTCGCCATCACTGCCGGCAAGGCCTTCAGGTACACACTATATAAATAATCTCAGGACTACCCTCAAGTGAAGGGTCGAGCACGATCGTGGGTCGCACGACTGAGACGGTGACTTTCTCCATGCCAGTCACCGTCCCGCTACCGGTCAACCAGCCGCCGACCCTCAAGCACCACATGAAGAAGCTCGCCATCACTGCCGGCAAGGCTTTCAGGTACACACTATATAAATAATCTCAGGGTCGAGCACGATCGTAGGTCGCACGACTGAGACGGTGACTTTCTCCATGCAAGTCACCGTCCCGCTGCCGGTCAACCAGCCGCCGACCCTCAAGCACCACATGAAGAAGCTCGCCATCACTGCCGGCAAGGCTTTCAGGTACGTACACACCGTATAATACCAGGACAGTATCCTCAAGCGAAAGGTTGAGCACGATCGTACGGTCGCACGACTGAGACAGTCACTTACCCCATGCCGGTCACCGTCCCTGGTGTACTGGTTTTAGACAGTCTATAATCTCTCTTCTGGTTGATTCTAGTATCTGATTGCCAGGTATGCATAATTTATTTATACATATTTTTTTAAATAACTTGTTTGTGGTATATTTATGTCGCAGTCGGATTGTATAATCCGCCGTTTTACATTACCACTAGGCATTTTACATTACAGCTCTGTTTTGTAATACAGCGGTTCAACGTTTAGGCGGATTGAATACGGCTGAATGAAAATCCGCCGGAATGTATTCGGCGCCAAACGTTCTTCAATACGGCTAGCCGCAATGTAAAACAGCGTGTCATTACCCGCCGCTTTGACAATTTTTAGTTCCCATTTTCAATACCGTGACGCTGCCTGACATAACAACAACAATGGCATCGGATGCAGAAAATATGTTGCTAAATTACGAAGTTATTTCTGAATTTAATAAAGAAAACTTTATAAATATGTGTGTCGACAGTGAGTTTAAGAACAATTTTAACTTGCAATTGTAGAATTTCTATTCTTCAAAATGTGGAACAGTCAAAAAACCGTGGACAAGGGACCGAGTTTTGGAGGTTATAGCCCACATTAAAACCGCTAAAGTGGCTATGGATTCTGGTGTTCGGTGGAATCCTACTCAATATTATTGATGCAAAAAGTATGATATTATGACAGTGGCCGGTGAAGATTTTGAGATATCTTTTAAGATATTTTTACCTTGTGATTACTCATTATGTTTAACAATGACTAAAGCCAAAATAATATTTTATTTATTATTAACTTTTTAAAAAAGTTTATTTGTTTTGAGATGGCTGTCCCCTGTGATATATAAAAATACAAAAAAATGACTGTAGCCAAATATATAATTTAGTATTACCACAGAATAATAATAAGTACTGTATTATTTACTGTAACAAAAATAACTAAGGAATATCGTGAGAAGAAATCTGCGTTATTAAAATTTATTTTCTTTAAACATTGTTTTATTTTGTAAGTTTGGTCACCCTACAATCTAAATAGTAGTACGATGCGGCTAAACGTGGGCCGCCGTATTGAAGAACGTATCGCAATGACAATCCGCCTAAACGTTGAACCGCCGTATTACAAAACAGAGCTGTAATGTAAAATGCCTAGTGGTAATGTAAAACGGCGGATTATACAATCCGACTGCGACATTTATATCTTCTGGATATTTCGGACAGGGAGATTGGAGACTTTAGATTTCTACTACATAATCTTTGTTTCACCCCTTTTTGGCTCGTCTTTTGTGACCAAATAGTTTGTCCTACTGCCCCATGTTTTAATACCTAAACAAGGATATATCATAGTTTTCAGATTGTTTTGTATGTTAAAATTTGGAAAAACTGCCCCTAGACTGCCATGGAGACTTCCTTGAATGCAATTCAGAATATTGCATAAAAATGGCATTATCTTATTTCTAGATACATCATCCCAGCAGACTTATTCACGGATCCGGAGGAAGGTAGCAATCTCACGTTCACTATGTACGAGGCAGAGAATGTGCCGCTAAGCAAGACTTCGTGGATACAGTTCATTCCCTCGGGACGGGAAGTCTATGGATTGTAAGTTTGGTTACACTTTGGAATTAGCTAGAAGTTCAAATAAGTGAATCATATACCTACTTCGAAAGTAAAAGTTTCAAATCATATCAAGGGAAATCATAACCACTTTTGAATGGATGAAATCAATCTGGTTGAGTTTATTTCTGCCTTCATTTGAAAACATGATATCAAGTTATAAAGTAGACTCATGCCCGTTTTCACCATCAGTCCCTAATTTTTAAGAAACCCTTATGGTAACACATATTATGAATTTTGTTTTCATAGGGGTAACTTAAAAATTAGATGGTGAAAACGGGCATCATAATCTCTTTCGCTCCTCAAACTAAGCAATTTTCAAACTCGCGAAATCGAACCAGCAACACTGTAGCTTGGTACGATAAACACCAAGCCGGGCCATTATATTTAAATGCAATGCGATACATAAGAATACGTTCCAATTCCCAGGCCGCTGGAATCGCACGTCTCCCGCTGGAACTTCATAGTCGAGGCGCAAGACTCCGAAGGTCTGCTAGCCCGAGGTCCTCTCGACATCACCGTCCAGCAACACAAGAGTGGTCGAACAGTGAACCACCAGTTCATCATCACCTTCAAGCTTCTCCGCGACTATAATAACACCATCGACTGGCAGATCAAGGCTTTGGAAGGACTGGTCAATCTATTCCGAGATACGGATATGGATCATTTGACGGTTCTGAACGCGACCCAGAATGGGGATACGTGCGAATTCGTTTGGACCAATGATACGCTCCCGAAAGACCCTGCGTGTCCGATGGATGACATCAAGCGGCTTATGAAGGTTTGTTTGTATCTTGTTCTTCTTAATATTGTAAGACGACAGCACATTCTAATGTTGCTATAACAATAAAACCTTTTAAGGCTAGGAATAAAGGCATTACTTATTCATCACAGTGGTCATTTGCTCTATAAAAGTACGGACACACGTGTACTTTTTCTGGACCAAAGAAGCTTTTAAAAAATGATGTCGCATTGCTCTTGATTTTGGATCGAAGAGATCCAGTCGACAGCACATGCATTTACTGTATAAGGTGCCAGAGTCTTTGATGATCTTGACGTACCTAGCGAAGCAATCACAAAGTCCTGGGTCCTGACCGAGTCCTGAACAGGCTTTTGGCGGCTTGTTCCTACTGCTGCAACTCCTGTGTACCCCGAATCTACAGCATTACCGCCATTGTTACAGATCATGGAATCCGACTCGGAACCCGGCAGTCCCTCAGCCAGCCTAGCTCGCGCCATGTCTCCCGAGCTCAAAGTGAGCGGCGTGGCGTGGCGCGGCGTGGGCCCGTGCGCGCCGGGCGTGCCCGCCACCCACGCGCCCGACACCTACCCGCCGGTCACCAGGAACCAGGTCGACCACCTCACGGCGACCGCTGGCCATCTGCTGCTGTATAAAGTGCCTGAGGTAAGTCCATGCGCCCAGAGACCGTCAGCTAGCTTAGGGATTCCGTCAACCAGNCAGTGTTGCCATGTGTATATTTTGTTACCTTAATAAAGATACACTTGTCCCCGCTATAACGACCGGTCAGAGCTGCCGTTCGACTCGCGCAACCAAAGTTCTATGGACTTATATGGACTAACTGGTCAGTGTTGCCATGTGTATATTATTGTTACCTTTATAAAGCTACACTTGTCCCCGCTATAACGACCGCTCAGAGCTGCCGTTCGACTCGCGCAACCAGGAGTTCTATGGACTTCTATGGACTAACTGGTCAGTGTTGCCATGTGTATATTATTGTTACCTTAATAAAGCTACACTTGTCCCCGCTATAACGACCGCTCAGAGCTGCCGTTCTACTCGCTCAACCAGGAGTTCTATGGACTTCCCGCGCCGGGTGATGAAGGCCGCGTGCACTACCAACTGGTTGGTTTTGATATTCAAAAAGCAACTTTTAGGTTTTCGTAGTATAGTTTAAATCGGATTGGGTAGTTGACACCTTGAATCAATGATCCAAGACAACTGCTCCAAAAGAATATTTTATTCTTGCCCTCAAAAGCCAATAAAATTTCAATTACGTATAATATGATTTTTTTAATCTAATGATTTAAATGTTGTTTTAATTGAGATGGTAAAGAGGATATGACATAATAGGTTATCATCTTAAATTAACTGTCTGTAAGAATGTCTGAACTGCCGTATCTCTTTCGAAGCGAACATGTTTCCACTGTATGCTTTGGAAGCTTGCGTATAAATGTAAATGCCATAACTAAACATTTTATATCTACAACATGTTACAAAACCAAAGATCTAACTCAAATCCTTTCAACAGATTGCTGAAGATTCAAGCAAGAAGAGCGCCTACGACAGCTTAGTAGTCGAAGTGGTGAAGGCGCCAGCCATCCGGCCTACAGTCGAGTTCCAAATGACCATGGACTACCCGTTTCCGCTGCTAGCGTATGACGCGAACAACAAGAGAAAGGTGGTGGAGAAATTGGCAGCGCTCTTTGGTCAAAAGGAGACAGAGAACATTAGGATACACAGCATCACGAATAACCCTACTACTATTATTTGGTGAGTGTATTGGGCTATGATTGGAGCTTCGTGTCATGATTTAAATACCAAGATAATCTTAGGCTCTTATAAACACAAATCCCTACATAATTTCAGTAAGCTATGTTATAAGTACATTCTATCTATGCTAACCTAAGATGCGCATTATATGGTTTTATCGAGACATTTAATCTTGAAGATAAGCTCACACGTTTATTTGTCGTCTAAAATCAACGATAAGATTATATCGTGGCGCGCATCCCAGATCGGCTGATAGTTATAATGCTGTTGAAATGCAAAAGCAAAAAGATTTTTATTGCTTTTTTTGTTCCTTATTTTTTCTAAAGATTTCGTCTCAGTTTCCCTAGGTTCTAGATCTTAGTGCTTATGAAATCAGTGTTGTATAATGGGAAACCAACTAACATATTTCATTCATTCATCAGGTACAACACCAGCCTACCAATGGACAGGTGTCCCAAGAAAGAGATCGAGGAACTCCGAAAGATGATAATCGTCGACTACCGCGGTTCAGCCGGCGGCGCGCTCAAAGAGAACGTCGACCACGTCTTCGATAAGGACCTTAAGGTCATGTCCATAAGGCTCATTCCACTCGGCCTGTGCGCGGAACAGAGCACCAAAGTACCCAAGACGACTATACAAGTACATCCAGGTTAGTATTTGTTTAGGCGATGAGAACAATATTATTCCAAAAATTGTTACTCTATAGGCATAAAATGTGTAATAGGTTGCCACCTAACATTAACTTCCTTCCATTAAATCAGTTTAAGAAGGATTTACATACTTGGTTGCTTCAAGAAACGTTTTATTCTGTAACCGAATATCAAAATTTGCTTAGACACTTTGAATTAATGATTCAAGAGGAAGGATTCAATGATGATTGTAATATCTTGTAATCTTGTCTCCTTTATAATGCATGCCTGCTAAGATATATTTAGGGAAACATTGACTTTATTTTAGGTAACATTAGGCCCGTTTTTCACCAAGGCGCAACGGAGCGGATATTTTGAATAACCATTCTGATTTGATGCATTCATTCATTATTGAGGAATGAAATCTGATTGGTTATTCAAAACATTTTTCCGCTCCACGTTTGTGGAAACCGGGCCTTTTGTGACTATATTTATGTTAGCTGTTCCTGGCAACTAAATAAATTTCAATTTCCAGGGTCGTCTTCTAACCAGCAAGGAAGTAAAACGGCGAGTGCCGACAACGGATACCTAGTGACGTTCATCATACCAGCGGTGGTGATCGTGTGTATGATACTGGTGGCTGGTGTTATAGCGTGCGTGCTATACCGGTAGCTTAGAGAGTCCATCAGATATCTTAGAGAGTCGGTCAGCTAGCTTAGAAAGTCCATCATCAGCTAGCTTAGGAAGACAGTCAGCTACCTTAGGTAGTCTGTCAGCTAGCTTAGACAGTCTCTCAGCCAGCCTAGCCCGCGCCATGTCTCCCGAGCTCAAAGTGAGCGGCGTGGCGTGGCGCGGCGTGGGCCCGTGCGCGCCGGGCGTGCCCGCCACCCACGCGCCCGACACCTACCCGCCGGTCACCAGGAACCAGGTCGACCACCTCACGGCGACCGCCGGGCACCTGCTGCTGTATAAAGTTCCTGAGGTAAGCCCACGCGCCCAGAGACCGTCGCTAGCTTAGAGAATCCGTCGGCTAGCTTAGAGAGTCCGTCAGATATCTTAGAGAGTCCATCGGCTAGCTTAGAAAGTCGCTCAGCCAGTCTAGCTCGCGAACCAGGTCGACCACCTCACGGCGACCGCTGGCCATCTGCTGCTGTATAAAGTGCCTGAGGTAAGCCCACCAGTATACTTGTAACTAGGTACAGCAGGAAATCCGAATCAAAACCTGAAGCTGAGCTAAATAAAGGTGAGCGGCGTGTGGTGACCATTCTACTGAGGTTCCTGTTTAATTGACAAGAAGGTAAGGGAGGACTTGACCTACACTCCTCACGTGGCGTTGGCTTATTTCTCAAAAGTGGTCTCTTTCGACATCCACGGGAAAGTATGGGTGGTCCTTTTTTTACTCTTCCAAAGACGGATCACAGACAAATCTGTGCACATCACACAAAATTGACAAATAAAACAAATGTCTAATCGCAAAACCTTAATTAACATATAATTTTCTCTTTCCAGGACACATTCTTCGACCCAGAAGACGGGGGAACCCGCAACCTGCACCTATCTCTCCGCTACAACGACCGCTCGGAACTGCCGGCCGGCCACTGGCTGCAGTTCGACTCGCGCAACCAGGAGTTCTATGGACTACCCGCGCCGGGCGACGAAGGCCGCGTGCACTACCAACTGGTCAGTGTTGCCATGTGTATCTTATTGTTACCTTAATAAGGCTAAACCTGTCTAAACTACAACGACCGCTCAAAGCTGCCGTTCGACTCGCGCAACCAGGAGTTCTATGGACTACCCGCGCCGGGCGACGAAGGCCGCGTGCACTACCAACTGGTCAGTGTTGCCATGTGTATTGTGTATATTATTGTTACCTTAATAAAACTACACTTGTCCCCGCTATAACGACCGTTCAGAGCTGCAGTTCGAATGTGTATCTTATTGTTACCTCGATAAGGCTAGACCTGTCTATACTACAACGACCGCTCAAAGCTGCCGTTCGACTCGCGCAACCAAGAGTTCTACGGACTACCCGTGCCGGGCGATGAAGGCCGCGTGCACTACCAACTGGTCAGTGTTGCCATGTGTATATTATTGTTACCTTAATAAAGCTACACTTGTCCCCGCTATAATGACCGCTCAGAGCTGCCGTTCGACTCGCGCAACCAGGAGTTCTATGGACTTCCCGCGCCGGGCGATGAAGGCCGCGTGCACTACCAACTGGTCAGTGTTGCTATATCTTATTGTTACCTTAATAAAGCTACACTTGTCCCCGCTATAACGACCGCTCAGAGCTGCCGTTCGACTCGCGCAACCAGGAGTTCTATGGACTTCTATGGACTAACTGGTCAGTGTTGCCATGTGTATCTCGTAGCTACCTCTATAAGGCTAGACCTGTCTATGCTACAACGACCGCTCTAACTGCCGGCCGGCCACTGGCTGCAGTTCGACTCGCGCAACCTGGAGTTCTACGGACTACCCGCGCCGGGCGATGAAGGCCGCGTGCACTACCAACTGGTCAGTGTTGCCATGTGTATATTATTGTTACCTTAATAAAGATACACTTGTCCCCGCTATAACGACCGCTCAGAGCTGCAGTTCGACTCGCGCAACCAGGAGTTCTATGGACTTCCCGCGCCGGGTGATGAAGGCCGCGTGCACTACCAACTGGTCAGTGTTGCCATGTGTATCTTATTCTTAACTCGATAAGGCTACACCTGTCTATGCTACAACGACCGCTCAGAGCTGCAATTCGACTCGTGCAACCAGGAGTTCTATGGACTACCCGCGCCGGGCGACGAAGGCCGAGTGCACTACCAACTGGTCAGTGTTGCCATGTGTATCTCGTAGCTACCTCTATAAGGCTAGACCTGTCTATGCTACAACGACCGCTCAGAGCTGCCGGCCGGCCACTGGCTGCAGTTTGACTCGCGCAACCAGGAGTTCTACGGACTACCCGCGCCGGGCGATGAAGGCCGCGTGCACTACCAACTGGTTGGTTTTGATATTCATAAATCGGATTGGGTAGTTGACACCTTGAATCAATGATCCAAGACAACTACTCGAAAATATATTTTTTTTAAGAATATTTTATTCTTCACCTCAAAACCCAATAAGATTTCAATTAATTAAATATTGTGTTAATTGAGATGGTAAAGAAGATTATGACTTTATAGGTTTCCATTGTCATACTTAAATTAACTGCTCACAAGAATGTTGAGTGAAAGTTGACTGGTGGTGGCCTTATCTCTTTTGAATCGAACATCTTTCCACTCCAAACTAATGGATCTGGCATAGAAATGTAAATGCCATAACTAAACATTTTAATCTACAACATGTTATAAAACCATAGATCTAACTCCAAAATCCTTTCAACAGATTGCTGAAGATTCAAGCAAGAAGAGCGCCTACGACAGCTTAGTAGTAGAAGTGGTGAAAGCACCAGCCATTCGCCCTACAGTCGAGTTCCAAATGACCATGGACTACCCGTTCCCGCTGCTAGCGTATGACGCGAATAACAAGAGGAAGGTGGTGGAGAAATTGGCAGCGCTCTTTGGTCAGAAGGAGACTGAGAACATTAGGATACACAGCATCACGAATAACCCTACTACTATTATTTGGTGAGTGTTTTGAAGCTTCGTGTAACCATTTAAAATACCAAGATAATCTTAGGCTCTTTAAACACAAATGCCATGATTTCATTAGACAAAGTTATACATTAACATGTGTACGGTAACCCGTACACCATGCTAGCCTAGGATGCGCATTATATCGTTTTATCGAGACATTTATACTTGAAGATAAGCTCACACGTTTATTTGTCGTCTAAAATCAACGATAAGATTATATCGTTGCGCGCATCCCAGGTCGGCTGATAGTTATAATGCTGTTGAAATGCAAAAGCAAAAAGATTTTTATTGCTTTTTTTTGTTCCTTATTTTTTCTAAAGATTTCGTCTCAGTTTCCCTAGGTTCCAGATCTTAGTGCTTATGAAATCAGTGTTGTATAATGGGAAACCAACTAACATATTTCATTCATTCATCAGGTACAACACCAGCCTACCAATGGACAGGTGTCCCAAGAAAGAGATCGAGGAACTCCGAAAGATGATAATCGTCGACTACCGCGGTTCCGCCGGCGGCGCGCTCAAAGAGAACGTCGACCACGTCTTCGATAAGGACCTTAAGGTCATGTCCATAAGGCTCATTCCACTCGGCCTGTGCGCGGAACAGAGCACCAAAGTACCCAAGACGACTATACAAGTACATCCAGGTTAGTATTTGCTTAGGCGACGAGAACAACATTAATCCAAAAATTGTTACTATATAGGCATAAAATGTCTATCAGGTTGCCACGTAACCTTAAGTGCTTTTTATTAAATCAGTTTAAGAAGGATTTACATAGGCTTGGTTGCTTCAAGAAACGTTTTACTCTGTAACCGAATATCAAAATTAAGATTGTAATATCTTGTAATCTTGTTTCCTTTATAATGCCTGCCTGCTAAGATGAATCGAGCGAAACATGGACTCTATTTTATGTAAATGTGACCATAACTGCAACTCGCTGAAATGCGACTCTACCTTGCACTTCCCCGAATTCGCCCCGTCCGTACCTCTGGTGACATCACGGCCGTCAGGTGCGCAGTTACTGTTTGTTACCTGTTTCTGACAAATAATCAATTTCCAGGGTCGTCTTCTAACCAGCAAGGAAGTAAAACAGCGAGTGCCGACAACGGATACCTAGTGACGTTCATCATACCAGCGGTGGTGATCGTGTGTATGATACTGGTGGCTGGCGTCATAGCGTGCGTGCTATACCGACGGCGGCGTACAGGTGAGATATCTTTTGTTTTAATAATCAGTTGATTCTGATACACGCTTACGATCGCTTTAATAAGACCTACGTCTTATTTACTAACTAAAAGAGGACAGAGCATTATCTATTTTAAAACAACGCCCTAAAAGGCCTAAATTCTGATTCAAGCTCGGTCGCCGTGACATAATGTCGATTCATGCCAATCAGAATACATCCTGTATTTTATGCTATGCGTTTAAACTGCTTTTAGTATTTTATGTCAGTGATGTAAAGAGTTATGCTTATATTTCGTATTGTAAAATGTAGCTTGGATCCTGTAAACGCAAGACAACGTTATGAGTTGATTATTTGATAAAAAAAATACCAAGCTATATTTTATTAACCATGTACCTACTATATTTTTATTAGCATTGTAAAGTATTGCTGTTTGGTATCCACTTTATTATTATTTTCAATAAAAAGTGTGAGCTGATCAAACAATAAAAATCACAAAATGTTAAGTAACAACTAACATTAGTTTTAATTCTGTAGGGGGCGAATATCCCTGAAAAAAGGTGAATTCAAAGAATTAATTAAAACACAAGTGCTTTTTAAAAACATCAATTGGTGGTAGACGCAGACGCTATTTGGGTGTGCCATAAAAAGCACCGCTATGTATTTTAACCTGCGCAGTTAAAACGCTATTCGTAACTTTTAACCTGTACTAGTCGAAGTACAAATGCACTCAGCTCTTCACAAGACGATTCGATCAAGACGAAATAGGTACTGAAATAATAATAGCGCTAAAATATCAGAATCGATCTATCGTAAAGTCTATTTAATTGTAGAATTTATTCACTTAAATCTTGCACAAAACTATTAGATTAAAACTTCATTATACTTCTCCTAAAATCCAAGAAAAAGTTCCCTTTATATTTTGTCCGAAACTGAACACCTGCTAAATGTCACCTTACTGGGCGCGAGTAACATTGCACGTTCACCGATACGAGAACTCACTGGCAGATACTACAACATGTAACAACGACAGTTCCGCTTGCAGGCAAGATGAGCGTCGGCGACGAGGAGGAGAGGCAGGCCTTCCGCTCCAAGGGCATCCCCGTGATATTCCAGGACGAGCTGGAGGAGCGTGGGGACACCGAACCCGTTCATAAGAGCCCCGTCATCATGCGGGAAGAGAAGCCTCCTCTGCTGCCGCCGGCGCCCGACTACCGCGCCGGGGACGACGCGCCATACCGCCCCCCGCCGCCCTTCGCCGCCACCCGCACGCCCCCTCGGCCCAAGGCCACGCCCACTTACAGGAAACCTCCCCCGTACGTACCGCCTTAAGACACTGCCTCACTTAATTAAGTATAGCAAGTAGAACGACCGCGTTTCGAGGTTCGAACCTAAGGCCCCAGCCTCGAACTTAGCGGGCAGCGGGGCGGCGGCGCGGGAGCGGCAGGATCTTATGCGTAAAATCAAATAGACCGGTTCTCGAAAAGAGCGGCGCGGCAGCGGGGAACGAGCGGGCAGCGGCGAGGGAGCGGGCAACGAGCGGGCACCGCACTCCTTCTTTTGCTCACAATAAATCGAGCGTTAGGAATTTTGAATCGAAATAAGATTGTTGCCGTTGTTCAGACATTTCGTTTGCGAATAAAAACAAATATCTCGACAACACAACCCCGAACACAACACTTCGCCGCTAAAGCGCCGCGCGAGCTGCCCGCTTGTTTCGAGAACGGGTCTGCGTTGCCCGCCCCGCTCCCGCGCCGCCGCCGCTCCCGCCCCGCTGCCCGCTAAGTTCGAGGCTGAGGAGTGAGGCCTAACCGCCGGCCTCCGGCTTCGATTGTTCAAATTTTCAACTCGGTATCGATGTCCCCTCGGTCCGTTTGCGATCGAGTAAACCGAGATCGAGTGCTCCCTCCGTATGGAAGGCATTTGTGATGTTTTTGCGATCATTGCTCTTATTAAAACGTATAGATGTTAAATATTTCTATGCGTTACACGTTTGCCTTTTCTGATGTGTAATTTTAGCGTCTTCAACTAACTTGTCGCTGTCGTTTCATGTATTTTTAAGGTGTTCGAAAACATGGAAATGGTCGCATTAACCTAATATAAACGACACCGAGAAACCGGTCCACAAATTCGTTTAAAAATTTAGTTTTGTATTTTATCTACGAAATCCACTTACTAGTCGTAAAGTTCATTTACAGCTTGTCTCATCACCTAATTTATTACCCGCTTGATTCTGTATTTATTATGGCAGCATTTAATTGAAACAAAACGTATTAGCCTTGCATTCGAAATAGACAAGGCGCTTTTTGTTAGACATACGTAAATAACATAGCGTGCATTTATTAAGGGAAAATGTATTAAATAAGTAACCTCGTCGAAACAAGGAATTGTTCACGGTAAGTGACCACGAATTTCTTATTAAGGTATTTGTCACGAAATAGCTCGTAACTAGTAACAACGTACGATTAGATGTTGGTCGATTCAATTACGTCAAACTGAAGAGTTCGCGATGAAATAACTACCTAGTGTTATTGTTGAAGTAGATGATGTTACTTTAGTGTAGGTTATGTATTCGCGAAATCGGCAATACATAAAATAATAAAGAGGGCGACACATACCTACATGTTGCATTTACCTCTTCGTAATTTCAATATATTACGATGATTCGTGTTCAGTCGATTGGTAAACGCATGAAAGCCTCTAGACAATGTGACATCGACAGATTCGGTTTCATGATCGCTTCGCTGCAACCTATATTAGTAATGTATGTGACTTTATCGAACCCAAATCGACTAATGTCACATTGTCTACAGGCACAGTTGTTAAAATAGTGTTTAAAACGTAATATTCAATTAATTACATATTTTATTTTTGATAGTAATAGCAGCTTAAGTCCACTGCCAACGATGCTAACAAATTACACCAAAATTAAAGTCCTAAGGTTACATAGATACCAGATATGGTAATCACGATTTTGTCATAATGTAAATGTTGACATGTTTGTCAATTACAATTTTCTATATTAATATTATCGAACTGTATTTCTTATTCTAACCACATGTATTTTCTTTCACTCTGAACGTAGTGTATTCTTTCTATAACTAGTGAAGCCCTAACAGACCAAAATAACAGGTAATTATAATGATGTTTGGCTAAACGTGTGCCATTGTTTGAAAATTGTTATTTAATATAATTTAAAATTAAACATATCGAAGATGTAACATGTTAGCCTTTAGCGTAGATCTTCCATACGAGATGTATGTTTAGGTAGTGCGTGTGTGTATGCGGTGTAAAGGTTAATAAGTAGTGGGAGGTGCTAGTCTTGATACTTGAGAGCCTGGTGTGGGAATTTTAGTATTATTAAGAATTTTGAATCACGCAATAATTACACGAATTTCCATTAAAACTTTTTTATAACTAATTTCGACTCCTTAAGAAACAATTGACAAATTAATATGTTGTTAAATGCTTCGCTCGTCTCTTGTTTCTAACGATATTTTTTCAGGGGTGGTAAACATTTATTAAATTCCATAAATAATGTTATTGGGTACAGAAGCGTCCCCAGCGGGCTCTCAAAGCGCCGACGTTTGGATCGAATCGCTGTTTACTATGCATGGTTTATTCGAAATGATTAGCTGATGTGTACACTATTAAAATACAATTAACTTAATATCGTATTGAATTATACAACTGACTCTAGTTATAGGCTATGAATAGATATTTTTAAGAATGAAATATCATTTTGTACTTGTCTAATTAATTATTACCATAGTTGTAAGGTTAACAAATGTAAACTATAGGGACTACTGAACGAAATGAGCTAAAATCTTTTTTCATTTGGATGTATTTTTTTCTACATTNGGCTGAAACGAACGAACAAGTAGTGATGACACACGGTTCGGAAACGTGGCCTTTTACTATAAGGCCTTATAATAAGCTCAAAGTTGCACACCATGGTATGGAGAGTGCTAATGCTCGGTGTTTCTTTTCGAGATCAAACCAGAAATGAGGAGATTCGTAAACGAACTAAAGTTGCCAGACATATAGCGATCGGATTACCAAGCTAAAGTGGCAATGGGCAGGGCACATATAGTACGTAGAACAGACGGCCGATAGGGCAAGGTTCTAAAGTGGAGGCCACATACGTGTACGTGTTTATTGGGAGGCGCTTTCTTTTTTTAACCAACTCCGGAACTAGAACCGGAATTCCGGAGTTGAGTGCCCAATATCGGAAATCAGTTCCGGAGTTGAAAACTATCCGATATTGCAAGCCCTAGTTAACACATGATAATAAAACGAAAAAAATCATTGTATGCAAGGTTCAAATACACTCAACATCAAATAAACCGCACCTTCTGCGACGCGAACTTTAAAGATTTTCTTCTGACACAATCATGGTACCCCAACAATATTGGTGTTATTTGAAAGCCCAATAAATATCCTTAAAGAAAAATACATTTCATTTCTAAATAAATGATTAACATATACCATAAATGTGACTTGAAAATAGACCTCACTTTGGGCTCACCTCTGGGATCAATTAGACCAATTTTTATGGTTATAAATGCAAATAAAGATCTCACGTGTCCTCTTTAACAGATGGATTGCGATTAATCCCAACTTTTTTATAGTCAGTTTATATACAGTTTTATAGTCATGAAAAATGACTATAGCGTAACTACCTATTTTTTGAAGAAGTGACTCTGGATCCTTGTAAAGACACATTTTTGGGGTAAAAACCTTTCCTTTAATGAAATAAAGTTTAGAACTAGGCTTTCAAATGGTACCAATGTTGGTGGGAAGTGGGGATGCATACGTTTGATAAGTGCTTGTCGCGGGAGGTGTGATTTATTTGATGCCGAGTGTAGTTTCGAAAGCTTGTATCGCGCATGGAATTTATTCCTCTTATAAGTTTGCGCTACAAGCTTTCGAATTTATTTGAACTTTGCATAATATTAAGTACAATTATTTTTTTCGTTTTAGTACAACTGCATTTCAGAATAAAAAAGCTTGTTTTAAAAAAAGGTTTTTAATATTATAATTTTATTTTACTCTTTTTATTATTAGTAGGTATCGCAATCTCAGAGCCTTGGTTCAATTACAATTTAGCACCAAAGTGCTCGAAAAGACAAATCCAACAAACCCAAACACGATAAGTTTCGTTTAGGTATTCCTATGGCCACCTCCTGACTCCATCATCAGGACCCTGGACATCATCTAGCACTAAAGTGCTCGAAAAGACAAATCCAACGAACCCAAATTCGATCCGATTCCGCCGTTTCATTTAGGAGTTCCTATGGCCAGTGCCGTATTATCCATAAGATACTTTAGGCCAGTGCCTAGGGGCCCACTATGACCAGGGGCCCAGCACTCCCGATTAAAAAATGAAAAAAAAAAAGTCAACGATTATTTTTATGCAACAAAACTCAAACTCTAAACTTCGTCTTATTTTGGTTTACACATTCAATCGTCATATTTCGATATTGTGAAACCTAAATCATTTTCGTAACGTTGGCATTACTGCTTTGGTTTACATGACAGGTGGACAGTCGACGCAATTCTGAGGCTAAAAAGCCTCACTGCGGTGGCTAGGGAGAGGGGTGAGGGTGTGTCATTCGATATAGCCAACGCTTTCAATACCATCCCTCATTCCAACATGGAATCCACCACTCTAGGCACTTCAACATCACAGAGTGCCTCAGTACTTTCGAGCGCTGATGGCCGATTACTTACGGGACGGCAAGACTTAGAGACGGCAAGCTCAAACGGCGCGGCGTAGCCAGCGGGGTTCCGCAGGGTTCGGTGCTCGGTCCACTCTTGTGGAACCTTGGCTACAACTGGCTCTTCCGGGGCGTCCTTCTCGCGGGCATGAGTGTCATATGCTATGCGGATGACGCTCTGGTCACTGCCCGGGGGAAGACATTTGGGGCCGAAGCACGGCTGGCGTCGGCGGGCGGCACATTAGTCGCTCGCAGAATACGACAACTCGGCCTGAAAGTCGCGCTGGAGAAAACTTAGGCCCTCTTCTTTCCAGGGCCTCGCCAGCGCGCCCCTCCCGACGCCCACATTGTGGTTGAGGACGTTAGGATCGACGTCAAAGGCCAGATGAAATATCTGGGCCTCACGCTTGACGGGAGGTAGCATTTTAGCCCGCACTTCAGCGGGCTAGCGCTACGCCTCCTCAAGGCAGCCGGCGCACTAAGTTGGCTCCTCCCGAATTTGGGAGGGTCACAACACAAACGAGGTGTCGTCGACTTTATGCCGGCGTTCTGAGGAGCATGGCGCTGTATGGCGCCCCAATCTGGGCGGACGCACTCCACAAGAGGGAGAATGCTGCCCTTCTGCGCAGGCCCCAGCGGGCAATAGCGCAGAGGGTCACAAAGACCTACCGCACGGTAGGGCACGCTGCGGCGGCGTGTCTCCTCGCTGGTACTCCTCCTTGGGAGCTAGAAGTTGGGATCTTGTCTGTCATCTATCACTGGATGGCAGACCAGAAGGCGCGTGGAATGCGCCCGGCCCCGTAGCGGCGCGGTGCCGTCAGGCTGGAAGAGCACGAGATCATGATCGAGAAGACATGACCTGTTCTGGACCAATGGTTGGAACGATCGCACGGGTTCCTCACGTTCTGTCTGGCGCAGGTGCTGACCGGGCATGGCTACCTGCATAGAATTGGGCAAGTGGAATCCCCGCTGTGCCACAAATGCGGCGTGGCGGATGACACGGTGCAGCACACCCTCGCGGTTTGCACAGGCTGGGAGGAGCAGCGCCGTGTCCTCACTGCGGTCGAGGGCCAGGATCTTACGCTTCCGAGCCTGGTCCACGCCATGCTGGGAAGTGAAGGTTGCTGGAAGGCGGTCGCCTCCTTTTGCGAAGAGGCGGTTGTACGACCGTTCTACTCTGCCCCCAGGTGGCGGTCAGGAGGCCGGAGGTGCGGGGGCACCCTTGTCACCTCCGTCTGACGGGAACGGCTTGGCGTTTCGGGCCATTCCCGTCGGACCCCCACAAAGGGGGCGTGTAGGGACCGCCGTGTAGGCGAGCTGTCGCCGGTGGTATCGCGGAAGTCTAAGGCTACGGCCGGATACTCGCGACACCCCCACTTGGGCGATCACGGAACGCCGCGGAGGTACTTTTAGTGGTTTTTCAGCGTCCATGCTGTCTCTTTTTGGTAAATAGTAGGTACTGGATTAACGATTAACGGACTTAGGATAATTTAACGGAAGTTAACGAGTCCGTTAACATTTTTTAAAGTTAACTTAAAAGTTAATCCGTTAATAGAAATGTTAACTTCGTTAATTAACGATTAACGGATTAACGAGTTAATGCCCAGCTATGGGNTCTACATTATACTCATTTAGAGTTTTGCATTTATAGATCTTTTTAGCGTTATTGATATACATTGATATAAAGTTGTTATCATTTTGTCTTTCCTTGAGTTCTGTCATATAATGTACTTAAATATAATGTCCACAGAAAACCGTACCATTTTCATCGTTTTACAAAACGAGTCCATCATTATAATTTGCGGTATTTTTGTTTAAAACACATTTCATTAAAAACGCACATTACATAATTTATGTAATTAATGAGCTTTTTATTTTTAAATAAATAAATGGTCTAGTGAAATCGAACAGTTTTATTAATACATTAAAATCCCCCTTTTGTTTTCATTTTATTAAGTTAAGTGTCACCTAATAAAAAAACATTTGTGTAAAATTACAATTTCATATCGATACCACAGATTATTATTATTAACCACTAAGTTACCATTACCTATTGGCACCACCGATGAGTTAGTCCTATCACCTGCCAGTGGCGCCACTGATTTTGATTGGTTTGGTAAAAACATAGCTGGGCACCGTTAATCAAATAGTTAACTTCGTTAATCGTTAAACCGTTAATAAAAAAATTAACTTCGTTAAACGTTAAAACGTTATATTTCGCAAGATTTAACGCAAGTTAACGTTAATCGTTAATCCGTTAACACTAAGGCTTGNTAAAAACCACCACCACCATCTGTGTGGCTTGTTTAGAAACCTGTCCTTTATTTTTAGTCTACCCGCATATCTTGAATCATCTGGAACAGGTCTAGTATTAGTACCGGTGGCAGTAGTTTATTTTATCGGTTGCAGCACGTTCTTCATCATGATAGAGCTGAAGTAACGTAAGTTGCTCGTATAGAGTGCGCACGCGGCATGCGCTGGCTACGTCAGCGAGGTAATTATTAATCTACCCGCATCACTTGAATCATTTGGAACAGTTTTAGCTATGGTTCTAGTATTACGGGCGGCAATTTGTTATCACTAGGCAGCGCTTTTATGCGGTCGAGAATTCTGTTAATCATAGCGCGTTCTTCGTCACGGTAGAGCTCCGGTAACTTAATTTCCTCGTATAGCGTGCGCACGCGGCGTTCGCTAGCGGCGTCGGCGAAAACTTAATTATTAATCTACTCGCATATCTTGAATCATTTGGAACATTTCTAGTATCAGCATTGGAGGCAATTTGTTATCGTTGGGTAACGCTTTAATGCGGTCGAGAATTCTGTTGGTCATAACGCGTTCTTCATCCCGATAGAGCTCCGGTAACCTAAGCTCCTCGTATAGCGTGCGCACGCGGCGTTGGCGAAAACGTAATTTTTAATCTACTCGCATATCTTGAATCATTTGGAACATTTCTAGTATCAGCACTGGTGACAATTTGTTATCGTTGGGTAACGCTTTAATGCGGTCGAGAATTCTGTTGGTCATAGCGCGTTCTTCGACACGGTAGAGCTCCGGTAATCTAAGCTCCTCGTATAGCGTGCGCACGCGGCATGCGCTGGCTACGTCAGCGATCTACCCGTATCTCTTGAATCATTTGGAACAGTTCTAGCTATGGTTCTAGTATTAGTACGGGCGGCAATTTGTTATCACTAGGCAGCGCTTTTATGCGGTCGATAATTTTGTTAGTCATAGCGCGTTCTTCGTCACGGTAGAGCTCTGGTTACCTAAGCTCCTCGTTGAGCGTGCACACGCGGCGTTGGCGAAAACGTAATTTTTAATCTACTCGCATATCTTGAATCATTTGGAACATTTCTAGTATCAGCATTGGAGGCAATTTGTTATCGTAGGGTAACGCTTTAATGCGGGCGAGAATTCTGTTAGTCATAGCGCGTTCTTCGTCACGGTAGAGCTCCGGTAACCTAAGCTCCTCGTATAGCGTGCGCACGCGGCATTCGCTGGCGGCGTCAGCGCGGCCGTAGCACGCCTCGAGCTGCGCGCGCGCCGCGTCCCCGCCGCGCGCCAGCGCCTGCACCGCCAGCCACGTGCACTTGCCCTCCTGGATGTCCGTGCCCGACTTACCATTTTCTTTTTCATCCCCGAAGCAATCGATGTAATCGTTCTGCGAAAGAAGATAAAGGTGAAAGAAATAGCCAGTTTCTCTGTGGTAAAACATTTCTGCCTGATCACACATTCCATCAGGGGAGAAGCATGTCAAGAGCTTTCTTCTTGCGTTTAAAAAAACTGTGTTGTTGTTTGCGCCGTAGCGTTGTCATGCTGTCGTCATGCTGTGTGTCGTCAGTCTGTTACTCTGTACTACTTGTCATGCTGTCGTCACGATGATGACACAGAGGTAGGGCCTCAAACGTTCCTCAAAGATGATATTTTCCTGTTCGTGGTTTGTGGTCAGCAAATCAGGGCAAACTTGTTTCTATGTAAGCATTGTTTAAAATAAATATTTCAAGTGACTTTTCCTCTCACCTGCATAGATAAAAGTAATCCCATTTCTTCAAAAATTTCTTCCACGCTGTCAAAGACATTCTTGTCTGCTTTGTTAGCCAACAATAAGCTAGTGTAGATCGGTAGTTTAAATGTGTAGTAACATCTCCTGTAGATTGAATACCTGTTGAATTGCTGTATTGTAAATTGGCTGAAATCGTTTGGAGACGGGTCATACTGGCCAAAACACAAATGTCTGAGAGTCTGAAAAAACAATTGCAAGTAAATAAAACCCTTCAATATTAACAACTACCCGATGGAACTCACTGCGCACCTTGCTGGAATGCGAATCTCCTTCGCACTTACCCGAACGGGGCGAACGCGGGGAGGTAAGTACCTAGTTACCTACCTCCTCGCGTTCGCGTATAGATAAATTAAATTATGTATGACTATTGACTAGAGCGTCTATGTGGCATAGACGTCTATGGTTCACGGCCATCGGATACGCAGTTAACTCGAACGGGTTGTGATCTCAATTGTTTAATTTTTTGTTACCTACCTCATTGAACGTGTTTAACATGTCAGGATAACAGCTTCTGTCGCCAAAGTTTTCTTTCAACATATCGAAGATTATGGTTAGTATGAGCAGCGAGTCATTGATGGCCAAATCGCCAACGTCGGGTAAACGGTACCAGCAGAGGGCACCTCGCCGAGTCGTGGATTTGTCAGCCATATCGTCCAGGATTAACAAACTTGTCTGAAACTGAAAACAGTATCTACTAGCGTGTGGTCTATGAGAAATGTCTAATAATTTAAACTTCTTTTTGTGTTGTATAGTTTAGGTAGGCTTTAACCAGTAGTTCCTGAGATTAGCGCGTTCAAAAAAACAAACAATTTACTGTAGACTTAGATTAATTATTTTAAGCCTATAGCATGACATAGGTAGCCATCAGATGCAGACAACAATAGCAGTTGTCCTTAATTACAATACAATGATGAAGTATTACGTTAATAATTTCCTTATTAGTAAGATATCATTAGCTTACAATTTCGTAGTCGACTTGAGCTGAATCGGCTTAAAACGGAAAATCCGTTACACGTGAAGTTATTCCGTTGTTTTGACTTGTTTTGCTCAAATCCTAGTTGCCGGTTATATGTATAACCGACTTTTTGGGATGGGTCCAGAAAAGTTTGTTTTGTTGTGTTTACCAGTGTCGCTTACCAGTTCCACACACCAGCCCAGAATGCGCGCTAACCTCATGGTCTCGTCGGTGATTTTGTCCGGACTCTCCAACCTTTGGTAGGCGCGCACCGTCATTAGACCGCGGGCTTTGCTGCCACCGGCTGAATTGTACTCTATCATCTGGAGCAAATGTCACAGCACAATGGAGAAGTTTAGTGACGTTGAAAACATTAGATTTCACCGAATGGGATTAAAATATAGACCAAAACTAAAAAGCCGGTGAAGTTATTTTTGAATTCCATCAAGAAATGGCTGGCAAATTAATTGTTTAAATTACCTACATATTTTCAAGTGGAACTTATACATAGGCGGTGCCGTGACGTCAGGCCACCTGTTCAAGTTTCATTGTGATTGAAACTGCAGTGTCAAATTATTCCATTGAGATTCAATTACGATTCAATTGAGCCATTTGTAAATTAGCGGACTTGGGGTCCTGGGGTGATTGCCTGTTTGTAGGTACTCCAAATGAATGGCGTGAAGTCACCGTTCAAATGGCGCGACCGTCGCATCGGTCGGTACCTACTTATCATTTGTTTTNGTAATATTAATCTACTCGCATATCTTGAATCATTTGGAACATTTCTAGTATCAGCATTGGAGGCAATTTGTTATCGTTTGGTAACGCTTTAATGCGGTCGAGAATTCTGTTGGTCATAGCGCGTTCTTCATCCCGATAGAGCTCCGGTAACCTAAGCTCCTCGTAGAGCGTGCGCACGCGGCATTCGCTGGCGGCGTCGGAGCGGCCGTAGCACGCCTCGAGCTGCGCGCGCGCCGCGTCTCCGCCGCGCGCCAGCGCCTGCACCGCCAGCCACGTGCACTTGCCCTCCTGGATGTCTGTGCCTGCCTTACCTTCTACTTTTTCATCCCCGAAGCAATCGTTGTAATCGTTCTGCGAAAGAAGATAAATGTGAAAGATATAGCCAGTTTCTCTGTGGTAAAACATTTCTGCCTGATCACACATTCCATCAGGGGAGAAGCATGTCAAGAGTTGTTGCGTTTAAAAAAACTGTGTTGTTGTTTGCGCCGTAGCGTTGTCGTCATCATGCTGTGTGTCGTCAGTCTGTTACTCTGTACCTACTTGTCATGCTGTCGTCACGATGATGACACAGAGGTAGGGCCTCAAACGTTCCTCAAAGGTGGTATTTTCCTGTTCGTGGTTTGTGGTCAGCAAATCAGGGCAAACTTGCTTCTATGTAAGCATTGTTTAAATAAAATAAATATTTTAAGTGACTTCTCTCACCTGCATAGATAAAAGTAATCCCATTTCTTCAAAAATTTCTTCCACGGTGTTAAAGACATTCTTGTCTGCTTTGTTAGCCAACAATAAGCTAATGTAGATCGGTAGTTTAAATGTGTAGTAACTTCTCCTGTCAATTGAATACCTGTTGAATTGCTCTATTGTAAATTGGCTGAAATCTTTTGGAGGCGGGTCATACTGGCCAAAACACAAATGTCTGAGAGTCTGAAAAAACAATTGCAAGTAAGTAAAGTCCTTAAATATTAACAACTAAGTACCCGATGGAACTGACTGCGCACCCCGCTGGAATATAGAAAATTTTACACAAAGAAAACATTCTTTTATTTTTGAAAAGAAATAGAACTGCATTCAAAGGTTTTCGATTTTTTTTTCGAAAATTTACTACCATACGAGGACCATAACATTTTCTGAAACATATGATATTAATTAAAATAATTTAAGATTTCATGGTTTTCATTATTTCATTTCCTTTCATTTGATTTATCAAGTATGTTAGAGAGATTTCATTCTTATACTTAACACTAACCATCGATGTAATAAAAAATACAGGGTGTAATTTTTAACAGATTTTAGTTGGTTCGATTCCCGGGTGTGTCAAGCAAATTTTTGGAAATCTTTGAATGCAGTTCTATTTCTTTTCAAAAATAAAGGAATGTTTTCTTTGGGTAAAATGTTCTGTCTACAGTATTAAGAGAACTTTCCCTCGAGATGGCATTACAACATTCCACCTTGTACTTAGATAAATTAATATGTATGAGTAGATAACTATGTAATAGAGCGCCGACGTGGCGCTATGGTTCACGGCCATCAGGTACCTACGCAGTAAACTCGACCGGGTTGTGATCTCAATTGTTTAATTTTTTTGTTACCTACCTCATTGAACGTGTATAAGATGTCAGGATAACAGCTTCTGTCGCCAAAGTTTTCTTTCAACATGTCGAAGATTATGGTTAGTATGAGCAGCGAGTCATTGATGGCCAAATCGCCAACGTCGGGTAAACGGAACCAGCAGACTGCACCTCGCCGGGTCGTGGATTTGTCAGCCATATCGTCCAGGATTAACAAACTTGTCTGAAACTGAAAACAGTATCTATTAGCGTGTGGTCTATGAGAAATGTCTAATAATTTAAACTTCTTTTTGTGTTGTATAGTTTAGGTAGGCTTTAACCAGTAGTTCCTGAGATTAGCGCGTTCAAAAAAACAATCAATTTACTGTAGACTTAGATTAATTATTTTAAGCCTATAGCATGACATAGGTAGCCATCAGTTGCAGACAACAATAGCAGTTGTCCTTAATTACAATACAATGATGAAGTATTACGTTAATAATTTCCTTATTAGTAAGATATCATTAGCTTACAATTTCGTAGTCGACTTGAGCTGAATCGCCTTAAAACGGAAAATCCGTTACATGTGAAGTTATTCCGTTGTGAGGCCGGCATTTTGACTTGTTTTGCTCAAGTCCTAGTTGCCGGTTATATGTTTATATAACCGACTTTTTGGGATGGGTCCAGAAAAGTTTGTTTTGTGTTTACCAGTGTCGCTTACCAGTTCCACACACCAGCCCAGAATGCGCGCTAACCGCATGGTCTCGTCGGTGATTTTGTCCGGACTCTCCAGCCTTTGGTAGGCGCGCACCGTCATAAGACCGCGGGCTTTGCTGCCACCGGCTGAATTGTACTCCATCATCTGGTAATAAATGTCACACCACAATGGAGAAGTTTCGTGATGTTGAAAACATTAGATTTCACTGAATGGGACTAAAATATAGACCAAAACTAAAACATAGGCGGTGCCGTGACGTCAGGCCACCTGTTCAAGTTTCAATCACAATGCAGTGTCAAATTATTCCATTGAAATTCAATTACGATTCAATTGAGCCATTTGTAAATTAGCGGACTTGGGGTCCTGGGGTGATTGCCTGTTTGTAGGTACTCCAAATGAATGGCGTGAAGTCACCGTTCAAATGGCGCGACCGTCGCATCGGTCGGTACCTACTTATCATTTGTTTTAACAGATCAAACTTAAACTTTTCCCTGGGGGTTTATGATCAAAGCACCACACTGGCTGGAGTTTGAGTAGGTACCTAAAATTACTAAAATACATAAAAGAAATACCAAATCGAAACGGCACGATTTAGGCGCTCTTATCATCAGGAAGCGATTACTACCTACTACATAGTATTACGATTACGATGTCGTATGAGGATTATACATAGGATACCGGGCAACATGGAAAGCATTGGGGGAGGCCTATGTTCAGCAGTGGACGAGATGATGATGATGATGAGGATTAACGGGCTTGTCGTAAACCGTCTTATTCGCATTCCATTATGAATGAAAAAAAAATTAAAAATGCTTTCATTCGCATTGTAGTCCAGTCAATAAAGCATTATAGATGGAAAACTGTAGAACACAATTTCTGACTACAGGACTTTATTTAGACTAGTTAGGAGGTGAACATAGCAAAAGTCCCCGCCCTTAGCCCTTGAGCCGACGGGGAGAGGGGGGTTTAAAGGTGCCACTTTTCGGTTTTTCGCTTAATCCTCGGAAACTATGCGTCCTAGTGACATGACTACTTTGAACCAAAAAAAGCATATTCAATTTGCTACAGATGAGATACTCAACTTTTTTGATAAATTGTATAGTTTTCGCGGCATCTGCTCTAGAAGGTCTGTAATATTGGAAATTTTATTTTTGTCTTACATGTTCCCATCAGGAGAAAATCGACTAAATCAACATTGAGCAATCATTCTAGACATGCGAGAGCATGTTAAGCCTAGTCCCAGCGAGGGGACTACACCGTGCGTATATTTAGACGAATCACTTTGAGCCACTTTTGAATCCTCATCACTCAAAAACTACTGTGCATTAACACTTCAAATTTGGCTCATGTGTTGAGACTTGCAAGATATACATCAGTTTCAAATTTCATAAATATGCCTCAAACGGTTCTTTAGATATTGACGTCCAAAAATCTACATGTCTGACCTATAGACCAAATTCTAACCACTTCCAGATGACCTCGAAGGTTCAAATTTGGCATCCAGAAAGGTAGTTATGTAAATACAAAGGAACAAATAAAAAACCAGTAAATTTTAACATTTCACATGTGATAGATAGATAGTAGTGCTCTAAATATCGATTTTTGAACGTCAATACCTAAATAACCGTTTGAGGTATATTTATGAAATTTGAAGCTGATGTACATCTTGCAAGTCTCAATACATGAGCCAAATTTGAAGTGTTAATGCACAGTAGTTTTTGAATGATGAGGAGTCAAAAGTGGCTCTAATTGGTTCGTCTAAATATACGCACGGTGCAGTCCCCTCCATGGAACTAGGCTTAACATGCTCCCGCATGTCTATAGTGTTTGCTCAATGTTGATTTAGTCGATTTTCTCCTGAAAGGAACATGTAAGACAACAATAAAATTTCCAATTTTACAGACCTTCTAGAGCAGATGCCGCAAAAACTATACAAGATATAGAAAAACTTGACGGTCTCACCTGTAGCAAATTGAATAAGCTTTTTTTGGTTCATAGTAGTCATGTCACTAGGACGCATAGTTTCCGAGGATTAAGCGAAAAACCGAAAAGTGGTACCTTTAAACCCCCCTCTCCCCGCCGGCTCAAGGGCTAAGGGCGGGGACTTTTGCTATGTTCACCTCCTAACTAGGCTAAATAAAGTCCCGAGGTCAGAAATTGTGTTCCAAGGATTTCTCTCTACACCGTCGTTAAGGCATTCATTGACTGGACTATTGAACGTCCTTGCTTTTTATCACTTCATACCTATAGATGACCCACGCTGAACTGTTCCACCAAACTCAATGACAGGGGGGCGCTACCATCGTTCAACTATATGGTTTCCAACATGGCAAAAATCGGAACCAGCGATCCGGTATTGACGGTGGCGCCCCACTGTCAATGTCATCGATAGGACAGTCCCATTGGAACTATACTTATGTACCTATTTACCTTTTTGACTCGACTGGCGATGTCAGGCACACGTGCAAACTTGTTCACCATGGCAGCTACAATTTCTGGGAAAAGCGCTAAGAATTTAGCCTTTTCCTCGTTTTCATCAAAAGAAACATTATTGATGTTTTTGTTGGAGTTTCTGTAAAGATAGGTTACGAACTGATGAATGCATGTTTCATTCATGAATTTATTTATTATTAGTGTAGCAACTAGTTATCTACTTGCCTAATATTTTTTTGGTAATTACGTTATTATTCTGCGCGTAAATACTAGTTGACGTGGTTAAAAGTACCTACTTAATCTATACAAATGCAAAACTTTTTTTTGCACCTCTAGGTAAATTATGTAGTCTGTCGAGGAACACTATTATGTGGTCGCGATTCTTCATCAGTGAGGGACCGAATAAGAAGAAGAAGGTAAATACTTAATAAACTGGTACATTTGAAACTTGAGAATAATAGGTAATAAAACATGACAAATGGGGAAAAGGGTTCCGTTTTTAGGGTTCCGTAGTCCTGACAAGGAACCCTTATAGTTTCGATACGTCTGTCTGTCCGAGGTTTTGCTTGGAAACTATTGGCACTATAGAGAGCTGTAATTTTGTGGAGGTAGTTATGTAGGTATGACAAAACGGTAAAATAAAATGTAAAGTGGGGATGAATTTTTTTTTCATCTTCTACCCCATCGTGTGGGGTACCGTTGGATAGATCTTTTAAAATGGTTTTGCGATTTCTCAGACTATTTTTCCATTAGGGATCTGTTTGCAAATTATTAAAGTTTAAAGTGCCAATTATTGTTCGAATTGGGCTCCCCCCCCCCTGAAAATTAAACTGTTGGCCTGAAAAATCTGGAAAAATTCGTGATAATACTGCTTTTCATTAACTTTCAAGGAAAACTAGTTATAACGGTTAAGATACATCAGTTAGTTTAAGCACAGAATAATAATAAGTAACTACGGTTTAAGGCTGAGTTGCACCACCTAACTTTGACCGTTACTATAACGATAACCGGTGTTTTTTGTATGGATTTTGACAGATTTTTGACGTTTGTCAAAGTTAAAGTAAGATGGTGCAACCCAGCCTACGAGGTGCTAAGAGTAAGGCGGTTATCACACTGCGCCGCGCTCCGCCGCGGAGCGCGGGGCGACAGATTTAATAATTGAATGCAAGTAGGTACCTCAGTTTGTATAGAAAACACGCGCGGCACTTCACACTGATAACGCGTCCGCGCGCATGATTTTTTATATGAAAATCACGCGCTCCGCGGAGGAGCACGGCGCAGTGTGATAACCGCCTAAGGCCTCAGCCTCGAGTTTAGCGGGCAGCGGGGCGGGAGCGGAGGCGGCGCGGGAGCGGCAGGATCTTATGCGTAAAATCAAATAGACCGGTTCTCGAAAACAGCGGCGCGGGAGCGGGCAACGAGCGGGCAGCGCTCTCCTTCTTTTGCCCACAATAAATCGAGCGTTAGGATTAAATTTGAATTGAAACAAAATTGTCGCCGTTATTCAGACATTTCGTTTGCGAATAAAAACAAATATCTCGACAACACAACCCCGAACACAACACTTCGCCGCTAAAGCGCCGCGCGAGCTGCCCGCTTGTTTCGAGAACGGGTCTTCGTTGCCCGCCCCGCTCCCGCGCCGCCCCCGCTCCCGCGCCGCTGCCCGCTAAATTCGAGGCTGAGGCCTTAGTATAGGCCTCGGTTTTTTCGAGAACCGGTCTATTTGATTTTACGCATAAGATCCTGCCGCTACCGCTGCCGCCCCGCTGCACCGTCATTTGACTCATGCATGAAACAATTTCTTAAACAGTAAAAATTCCTTAGAAGAAAGTATATGAAAAGTGACTTTAGATGAAGTAATTGCTTGCTTCTGAAATATATTGTGGTAACGACGGACAACTACGGAACCACTTGTTTTCCATCTGGCTACGGAACCCTAAAAATCGACTAAGTGTGTAATCGGACTCGCGCACGAAGGGTCCAGACACTTTTATTATTGTATGGAAACCTCGCTTCAAATTTATTTTATTTTAATTTAATTTCAACAATATTCTGTGAATATTTTATGTCAAGCCTCTAACTTGTTGAATGGGAGCCCCCCTCGCCTATTTATTTTAACCAGGTATTCTGTTTTTAGTTTTTGTTGTTAAAGCAGCAACAGAAATACATATATCATTCTGTGAATATTTCAACTTTCTAGCTATCACGGTTCATGAGATGCAGCCTGGTGACAGAAAGAAAGCGAAGTCTTAGACTATTAGGCGCAGACCACCGATGTTTAGTTGGCCCGTTGGCCGATAGGGCCCGATTTTAATTTGTATGAAGAATCGGCCAAATGAAATCGGTGTAATGTGCGTCCGTCCATACATGCCCATACTGATTAACCTATCCAAGCCCAACTAAACTATCGGCCGACGAAAAATCGACGGTCTGCGCCTAGGCTTAGTAATAGGGCTCCGTTTTTACCCTTTGGGTCACGGAACCCTAAAAAGCCAGGTTAGGGCTTGGATCTTTTATTTTAAAAATTAAATAAAGCTTACAGCTGCTGATCAGTAACTCGGTAGTTTTAAATTTTTGCAGATTTTTTAGTTTAGTAGAACCTAGGACTTATCGTCTCGTAAAACAAAAATTTCTATTGAGCTACGTTAGTACATAATGTGTAGTAAAAACCATTAAATATGATTTCACTACTTATTTTTCAACAGATTAAAGTAAAANTAAAAACCATGATTTCACTACTTATTTTTCAACAGATTAAAGTAATATTAAATATATTTCATCGAATTTTTAATAAAATATAGAGGAATAAATCTAGTAAAAACTTACTTCAACTTCCTTTTCAATTCAATATCCTCAACAACTGACTCCATTTGAAGAATAGATGCAATTAATTTTTAAATGTCTCTTATATCGATTCTGGTTGTTTATTGGTATTTATTACTTGTTCTATTTTTTTGTCTTCTAGGGCACGTCTTTTTGAAAGAATGTCTGTTATGAACTGAACAGACAATGGCGATTGCTTTAGCTTTTATAAGTTCGACGATGGATTCCATGTAGCAATCTGCGTCATTGTATTGAATATTAACTTACTGAGTAAGTTACGTCACACAGCACTGCTCCACATTACATAGACCGGTAAGTAGGTACCTAACCGTTCTCCTACTAGATAGATATTTTAAGGAAATTATTTGTATTTTGGATAGTATAGGTACGTAATATTTAAGCAAGAACTTCTATACTTTTAATAGGTATTATAAAGAGGAAAGATTTGTATTTTTGTTTTTGTTGCCGCCCCGTTACTACAACTGCAATAATTTACCCAGTTAGCAATTAATTGATAGCGATTGAGTATAGCAATTATGTAAAGAAAACAATAATCCAATTTAACGTGACCAAGTAGTAATTTACCTCACATTAGTTTTCTGTGCAAAAACAAACTTAAAATAGATGACTTTTCTCTAGCTAGACTACTTAGTATACCTACCTTATTGACCCAGAGTAATAATGAATACTAAAAGGAATGAATAGAGCCTTTGAAAAATTTCAGTCATAGATCGTTGTTTTGTGGTTTATTTATTGTCCTGAAGCAGTGATAGGGTTCATACCGGGATTGGGACATGTGCTTTTTTAAAAATCTACTTGCAAAGATAAATTAATGAGTTTTAAGTGCTTTTTTTTGTTTTTTAGTATTATTGAGTTTTCTTGCACTTTTAATTAGCATTAGCTAAATAAAAGAAAAATAGTGAAAATTAGGCTGTATAGAGCAAACCCATAAGCCGTTTTAAACAAACTAAAAAAATTATAGATATTAATTTGACACTGACAGTGACTGTGACAGTGACAGTCTGTTGTTGACAGAACAGAACAGCTGATTTGGGTTTCCTATGTATTACTTTTCTCTATGGATTTGGGAACCATTTTGGGAACTGGGAAGCAAATAAGCAAAAAAGTGGATAGTTCTTTGAATTTAGTTGAAATAAGTATTAATTTATTACCCTTTTTGTGTTATTGTTCGTCAAATAAAAGCTATTAAAAATGACTAGTGAAGCAGAAAAAGTTCTACCTCATGTAAAAAAGAACAATCAAATGAATTTGAAAAATCTCCGCGTATCTTTGAGGTATAGGCCGAAACTTGTAAAACTTATCTTAAAAATGAGGCATTGCATCAGGAAAAAGAACCTCTTACTTATGAAATTAAAGGAACGATTAAAGGTTTTGGTAAGTTAATAAACATAACCTCTAAATCTAATTGGCTAGCATTATTTTGGCAGTATTTTTTTAGATCAAGTAGGCAATGACTATTTTAGACTATTTTAGGGAACATGTAATAATAATAGTGAATTATACTTATGGATTTATTTTTACATTATATGGTTTTGCAGGATAAAGCATCTCTGCAGAAAACAGATTCATATTGCCAAACTGAGAGTGAATCTTTGAGTTCCACTATAGATACCAATACAGTAGGTTCGAAATCGAACGATTCATTCAAATCTTTACTTAAGACAGAAGAGTCTTCTGACGTAAAAGAAGAGTCCGGTTGGGATGTAAACAAAGATGGAGAGAAAGCTATGAGTATAGCTGATCAAGTGAAGGAGATTGCCCAAAGTGCATTGCAGCAGTCGGGAATGGTTTACGTTGAGTCTGCGGGCATGTACTATGACTATAAGACTGGTTACTATTATAATTCTGTAAGTGGTTTGTCAATAAACTGGAAGTTAATAAGAGTTGTCTAACTGTTTGGCCAAATATTACAGTTGTTAAATATTTTTACAACTTGTCATAAATATCAGACATATTAAGACATTATGACATTGATAACAGGGATGAATTTGAATGTAATGTTCCAGGAATTGGGTCTGTACTATCATACAGACACAGGGTGCTACTACTATTACTGTGAAGAGAAGAAAAACTTTGTATTCCACTCATACCCCGACCGCAGTGCTGTGGCAGCAAATGCTGCTTTACTTGCTCATGAAAAAAGGAAAGCTAAAAAGCATAAAAAGGTACCAGTTTTTAGTTAATACTGATGTATGAAATGTTTACTGATTAATTAATTAATGATGAGATCTGATGATTATATCAATCTCTGGTTAAACTAGGCAATTCAAATTTCATATGTTTTTTCCCAATGAGGATGTTCGCGATTGAAAAATCCGCCAGATACCGCCGTCTACGTATTGCCATCTGGCGGATTTTTCAATCGCGAAAACCCTCATTGGCAAAAAGTAATAGCAGAGTTTATTTTAAATAAGCTTAAAGTTAAACTAAGCTAAAGCAAGTAAATATTATTAAAAGTACTTTTTCAATCTTTTTTCAGGATTGGAAGAAAGAAGATGACATTGATAACCTGACGAAAAACTTAGCTCAGGTTTCACTTCGAGTCACAACCGCCTTAGGTAAATGAAATGCCCAAGTTGCCACCCAATACCAAAGTGAATATTATATATTTCAGGGCAGAGAAGACGATGCAAGCCAGCAAGAAAGTCAGCCCAAAAGACGGAAGACAGACAAGAAGAAGAAACGCAAAAGCAAAGAATCTGCTGCTGTCAAAAAACAGTTAGAAAACGATGAAAAGCAGAAGACAGATGCTAGTGAAGAAAATAAAGAAAAAGTAGACGAGATATTTGAAGCAAAAAATAAAGAAAAAGACGAAAACACAGATACTAAGGATACAAAGGCTGAAAAATCAGATGAAGATCTAGAAGATGGAGAATGCAGTGAATCAGGCAGTGATGGATCAGACACTGAAGAGAGCTCGGCACGAAGTACTTCAACTGCCAGTGATGATGACGATGACGGTAAATGAAATGTAATGTAAAAAGAAGGGGTGTTAATTGCTGTAATATCTGCGCTTTTTATAGTTAGGGCCTGCGCTAAAACGCGTGGCCGTTCGAGTCCGCGCGAGTTTGAGCGGAGGCCCTTATGGATCAAATGTATTTTATATTCAACTCATGTTAAAACCTATAGCATAAATAACGTTTTAAATAAGTTTGTGTCTAGCCTGTTGGGATATTTTAAGATTCAACATTTTTATTGTTCCAAAAATACGCGTAAATGGCATAGAAGAATTTTCTCTAATAATTTTTATTGACGGGATTGCTACCATGTACGCATGTACTTACCATGTCAATAATAATTATTATGTTAGTGACCATGAAAGTTTAAAACAATATAATTGTCTCTAACTTGTGCATTAATAATAAATTATACATCCACACTATATCAATCAAAAAACTGTGGCATCCAATGGTAGGTGTTATTTTGCAACAAAAGTGTAGTGTAATGTACTGTCTGTACACAGTACACAATGTATAACTAAGTAATATCTATTCCAGACGCAGTAGCGAAGCACCATCCGCCGTGCATGCGGGTGATCGTCAAGGAGACGAGTCTAGCCAAGCTGAAGGTGGGCAGTCTGTACCTCGTGACCAAAGATGGCGGCACCGTCGGCCGCGAGGGTGACCACCACGCTATAGTTTTGAGAGACGCCAACGTGTCTAGAGTACGTTTAGTTGTGTCATTTTTGTGTTAAAATCAAAATTTTCTTTATTTGTTTAGACTAATTAAATTAGTTCTTGCAAATCGTTAAATGCTCTTTAGAAATTACAGGTAGTAAGTAATGTTATTAAGTAAATGAGCAGTGTTGCCACCTCGGATTTTATTAAAGCGCTATCAAAAACAAAATTCAGCCAGATTTCAGAAACAAAGACTAGAAAAAAACCACCAAATTACGCCAAATTAATGAAAACATACCACCAGGAGCCTTAAAAAAGTGCGAGTTCTGATGGTAAACCCACCAAGGTGGCAACACTGTAATGAGGTGGGCTATCTTGTACCTCTAATACCTCGTGACCAAAGATGGCGGCACCGTCGGCCGCGAGGGTGACCACCACGCTATAGTGTTGAAAGACGCTAACGTGTCCAGGGTACGAAAGTGTTGGTACTTTATAAAGGGTTGTAATGAGGGCTACCATATTTGCGCTTACCAGTTGGCGCCACCGTAGAGTCATTCGTTGGCACCACCGTAGAGTCATTCGTTGGCACAATGGCGTCAACTGGTGAGAGCTCAAGTTGTAGGAGAACTCTCACATTTCCTTTAATTAGGTTGGCGCTACTGTTGAATAAGGTCCACCAAGTGAGAGCAAATGTGGGACATTTAATTAGAATAAGTTAATTATACTGCCCTGTTAAAATATACGAGAGCGAGTGAATTAATTATAATAATCAGAGCTGACTGTGCGAATTTATATGTAGTAGTTGTCTGTCTGGTAACCTTACCACCTACAATATTTTTTTTAATTTGATGCTAGATAGCACTTTATCAAAGCATACATAAAATATTTATGAATATTATTCAACTTATCCTTAGTCCATATTACTTTCTACAAGCTCTTGGATCAAGAGACAACGTCGTGTAAGTAAGTGCTAGACAATGACTTTTCAAACTATAATAATTATTTAATATTTCAGAATCACTTGGACATCAGATACGATTTGGCAAGCAGGACTTATATGGCCATGGACTTGGGTTCCAAGAATGGCACCATACTAAACGGCATGCGCATGAGTGAAAGCCAAGTTGTCAGCAAACCTATAGAGGTAAGACTTATAATTCCATCCCTCTCACGCAAAACGGTATTCTAGCATCAGCGACAGTGCCAGATATATCCAAAACTACGTAAACTTTGCTGTTTTTTTGTTTTTTATAAGTAAAAGATACAGGACAAGAGCTTCCTCGTTGTGGATAAAAAAAAAGGTTTGAGTGTATTAGAAGTTATGATATTATTATTTGTGTTTACTAATCACCGTACAATATGTTACAGATAATTCATGGCAGTATCCTACAGCTAGGTGAAACCAAATTGCTATGTCACATACATCCAGGGAAGGACACGTGTGGACACTGTGAACCAGGCCTTTTGTTGGAAAGTAAGATATTTTTATAAAAAATACTAAATTAGAATCAGCCCTTACTTACCTGGTAGTAACAAAATTTTTGCTATCATATTTTGAACTTTATTGAGATTAATGTAAGGTTAATAAAAATATTTTTCTCTAAACCAGTTCAAAAATTGAATATTTTTAGTGTTTCCAAAATATTAAAGTGAACTCTTATACTCCTCAGCTGAAGAAAAAGAAAAGAAAGCTGCCTACACTCGAACGTGTAGCGTGCAGAAACAGCACCAACTAGAGTTGGCTCGCCTCAAGAACAAATACGCGCCTCAACCGAAGGCGATCGAAGAGACCGCGTATAACGACCGGGCGCAGGCGAGGCGAACTAAAGTCGGGTCTTCGCACCACGCTGAGAAGACTCAGTCTGCTGATATTGACTCGTGAGTAACCGTCATATTTAGGTTCAATCTGACTAAAGAACTCAGGTCCTCAACCGAAAAAAATCGAGGAAACTATAGGTATAACGACCAGGCAGAGGCCAGGCGAAATACTGTTGGGTCTTTGTACCACGCCGAGATGACTCAGTAAGTACCTAGTATCTTTTGAGATATTGTTGATATTATCCGCCTCAACCTAAAGTAATCAATGAGACCGCCTATACCGACCGTGATTAAATAATTTCAGGGATTTGATCCGTAAATAAAATTAGGTTAATCGGTTGCAAATGTGTTTATTTAGCGGGATCATTGGTTGGTTATTTTTGTCATACAAATTCGTTGAGCATTTTATAACCGGCTCTGAAACAAAAGAAAAAAATGTTTGTTGAATAAAACGTTGATAATATTAAGATGCCGTGTAAAGCTGCGTTTCGTCGCCTCGGTAAATGAAGCGATTCTATTGGTTCTTTACAAACACATCCCTCGCTACGCACTCTCGCATATCTGGTGGAAACGCACCCTAAAAGATAGATAAAAGTGTAAACTGTAATTTTCCTATCTCGCGTCTCACCTCGGGACCAATATGTATAGCTAGCATCATGTCAAAGTCGTTAGCTCCCACTTGTATCTGTGCGCGGCCGTTCCCGTCAACCGTAACAGTTCTCCCGCGGCACGACGAGCCGTCCTTGTCGCCTGATATCACGTCGCAGTACTGGCCTGCGGGAAGACATGTCTGGAACAAAACGATTAACGATCATAGTTGACAGCCCCAATACGAACTGCCAAAATCTACTTCCCCCTGAAAAATATATCCTCCGTGGTTGAGGGTTCCGGGTGAAGCTCGCTTCCACCTTCGGCCTGATCATCACTTCACCATCAGGTGAGATACATGCCAAGAGCTTCCTCGTTATAAAAAAAATCATAGCAAAAGAAGGCTATGTTTTTCGCCATTTCAACTGACTATTTTTTTAATGCAACTAAAATCTAAAATTTTGTAGTTCAAACTAGCCAGAAAAACAATCAACTATCCCCCTTATTACTTGTTTTGCTTTATGTCAGACAGATAGCATAATCTTGATAGAAAGGTCTCAATTGAAATCTTAATCACCGACTAAAGTGATTGCGATAGAAGTTGAACGTAGATAAAACTGCTTGTTGGTACATTCAACTCTACACTACTCATATTTTGAAGTTCCGTACCTGTAGGCTCTGGTTAAGGTCCCAGCTGTCATTGTTGAAAGCGATAAACGCGTTGCCCCCACGGCAGAATGCGATCTGGTTGCTACCGTTGTCCCACCAGTCGTTGACGCCAGTGCTACCAGCAGCGTTCCTGAATCCCACCATGGCATAGACCTGCCTCCAGCGGTGCTGGCAAACCCAGCCATTGCCGCACGTATTATCCTAGAAACATTTAACAAAGCTGTATTTTTGAACAACTTTAGATAGGTATTCAGATAAGTGCGTAGGTGAGATCACAAATCTGAAAACAATAACAGATATAATCGCAATGCATTTTATCAATTAAGCACTTTAAATTGATCCGATACCATCAAAATAACAATTACATGCTTAAGATTTGACATGAGATTAGTATTCGTTGGGTAGCATAGATAACAATAGGAAAATTACCGAATTGATCGCTGGTGAAATGATATTGCCTTCCCTGTCCATTGGGGGGCCAACTTCGGAATCCCAGAAGTCGAAACTGCTCATGATCTGCGGTTCTCCGTACGGGTGGGCTAGTAGAAAAGCCATGGCTGCCCTGTAGGGTTTTCCCTGTTTGTAAGTTAGGACTCCACCACCGCCTCCGTGCCCTCTCTCATTGTCGTGGTTATCGATGAAGGTAAAGGAGTCGCTATGGGCTAATAACCCCCATTGAGGCCCCCAGGAAGACAGCCATCTCAGCTGGTTATTTCCTCTGAAAGCGTTGCTCAGTTCCATTCCCACTTTGAACTCTGTCACTGCTCCAATGGGAGTGTATTCATCTCGGCTGATAGCTTCGCCTCCGTAGTCGATAACTTCTTGATAAATGTATGGACGTGCATTTTCAGGGAACCCGTGATCTGTGTTCAGATTCTTTAAACGATTGTAGATGATTTCAAGGTCTTGTGGCCACATGTGTTTAGCTGCATCGATTCTGTTGAAACAATTTTTAACATCATGTATAGCCTGACCAGGAACATAAAAACCCTGGCATAGAGGCGCTTCAATTGCATTTGATAGTGCAACACTGGGTACAGTCGTACCTGTATTAAATTAATAGGCTAACTTTATGTATCAGGATTCAGGATTATAGGCTTATTTAATATTTTCATAAATTAACAAAAACGTATTATATTATAGGTAAACTGGTTTAAATAAATTAAATGAAACCATCAATCGAGCAAGTAGGATTTTATTATTATTCATCAATAATCAAATTCTGAACTTGAATATTCAACTACAATGTCTGCTCATGAACGCTTCAAGCTCGGTACTTCTTTCCCAATTCCATAAAATTCAATACTTACAAAGTGACAAAAACTTTAAAATAGGTAGTTGAAACAAACCACAGCTAATTTTCATAGTTGACTGTACTATACGATAAACATGTCAGTCAATTTGACAACCTTTGTCGGAAACATTATTCAATGAAAATATTGTCCGAACCCTTAGTATTTCTCTTCGACAAATACTTTAACACATTGTGAACCACTTTTCTTTCACGACTATAAAAAGATTTTAGCAATTTATTCACAAAATCAATTGCGCACATTTAAAATAAAGTTTGTTTACACTATGACAGCAATAAACTGACATGCAAGGTGACATTATAATGAAGTTTTCAGTTACTGTTGCCATTAAAAGAAATTAGTACCATTAGTTTTCCGCAACATGGCGAGGGTTTTTATGTTCCTGGTCAGGCTATATTAATATTTAAATGGGGACTAATTTATAATTATGTGAAAAGGTAATTTTTTATGCTCACCTAAATCCAGCGACACCATAGTCGATCAGCTCGTTCATAAAGTCTACTATCATGTTGCGCACGTGTTCGTCTGCTTGATTCAAGTCCTTTAAGCCGACCAGCTCACAGTTGCGGACCTGAAAGTTTATGTTATTTAGGAACTTTTCCCAAAAAGTATAGTGAAAAAAAAAAATATTTTGCTTGTGCCTTCTCTTCTGCCAGTCTCTCTAACTAGGCCTTAGTTCACATGCATTTATTCCGCCCAAAAAAGGCTTGTTTTTCTACTCACTCTCCAAGCATTGTTGACGTAATCCATGCCGTCGATGACGCAATGCGGCCAGTTGAAATGCTCGCTCCTGAAGGGCACCGCAGGGTAGTCCCACTCCCTGAAGACGGCTGTGCTGCCGGCCGTGCCTACGTTCTCTGGAGGCTCGCCTGTCATGTGGTTGATTACTGCGTCCACGTAGATTCTGTGGGAGGCAATCTTTATATTTTACTACTTGATTAAAGATTTGAGAGTTGGACCTTCAAAATCAAACTAGTCACAGCGGCCCTGTAGTCGGTATATCTTTACATTTCACGTCTGGACCTTTGATCTTCCGAATTAGTGACCAGTTGATATTATATAGGCTGGTTCCTACCAGGGCTTTTTACATTCATTGCAGTAGGTTCTTGTTATGTGCCAAGATCTAATAAACCTCACCTGACTCCAGCTGCGGACCAACCCAGTGAACTGCCTTTTGTTTCCCTTTATGTTGTGAACAGTTGATACTAAGATACAAAGACCCTAATGGAGTGGCCATTATGGTATTTTGTACGTCCATCCCTTGGCAAGCGTTATTGTAATGTGGAGATAAAACCCAATAAATCTCACCTGACTCCAGCTGTATTGCACCTGCGGACCATATCTGCAAACTGCGTCTCGTCTCCCGAGCGTGTGACCAGCTTATACGACATGGGTTGGTAGCGCTCCCACCAGGGTCGGTTGTAAGTCCATAGAATCACATTCTCATTGGGTGGCGAGATCTGTGCAAGTTTTTTGAAAATAATATTAGTAATTTGTGAAATAGAAATCCTCTTGATCCCTGGTATTAAGCTAAATATGCTTGTATTACAAGTGGGTTCACCACAAAAGTCTAGACCAGTGGTTCCCAAAGTTGTCTGGACTACGACTCATCTAATACAAGTTCCCAAACTCGGGACCCACCTGTAGGTTTAACCGTAACCAATATACCTAAATAAAGGACTCGGTTCGGTAGAATGTTGTGTCGTTTTACAGGCAGGGCCCACTCAATGTTCGCTCGCGATCCATAGTTTGGGAAACCCTGGTCTAGTCTAGACTCTAGGAGGCTGCGGGGTTCGAACCAGTGTTCTTCGGACCTCAAGTCGCGCAGTTCGAGACTTTCAGCGTTTGGCTATTGTCGCATAAAATTTTCAGAGAGAGACCAAACAATACCCAGGTGTTGTAAGAGATCGTGACAGTTCGGTATATTTTGTTGTATCATCGTAATAATCTAATCACATAACTAATTATTTTGATAAATATCATTTGTCCACACTCCAACATTTAATAGTATGCTTCGGGGAATTTCTCATTAATCCCAACTTAATATTATAGGGGAGAGTTCGGTATATTGTACCGCCGGGTAAATTGTACCACCCTCATATTTCGTAAAGTATTTATTGAATGTTTGTAATTGCAACACTCAGCGATACACAACTAAAATCAATTAATATCGGCCATGTGGTTATTGCCGTGACAACAAACACGTGTGTTTTATTTTGAAAAGTATTTTTTCATTGTTTTCAAGTAACTTTTGACAATACATGTTTAGTTTGTAATTTTGTTAAATTTAATCACAGGGTGTTTCTAATATATTATTTAGAAGCGTAAATTAGTGTGGATTACAATTATTTGAAACATTTTTCGGTATTTATAAGCTATATTTTTTACCGATTTTTTAAAAGCACTATCACCTAGTCGGCTAAATTGTACCACATCAAGTTGTATAGAACTTTACCAAAGGATTTCGATTGTTTTTTTTTGTAAATCATATTTTGAAGTTATAATAGCGTAGTTATGTTTGACTTACAATAAATGAAAGCAAAAGACTGGCAAAGTAGATTAGGTACAAGTGTGCGTTACGATAAGTGGAATTAAAAAACTTGTACTCAAAATCGTGATAACGTGTAAAACAATATCGATTGTCTATGTTATTAACTACTGGTCCTTTTCGTTTCCTAATTTGTTAAGAATGTATCGTATAATATTTTGCCATAGTTATTTTATAGGCTTGAAATATATTGAAAACCAATTTAGTAACCCTGTGGTACAAATTATCGAACCGGTTGGCTAAATTGGACCGAAGCTCTGGGCTCGTATTTTGTTGATTTGTGCTAAATATACAACAATCATGTTAATTAATACTTATGAAATAGTAAGTTGAATAATTTACCTTTTATTATATAGCATGGACATTAGCAAAAACAAAAGAAAACTATGTGTAAAATGGGATTGAAAAAAACTGGTCCAAATTAGCGGACTCTCCCTTAAATGCGAAAGTAACTCTGTCTGTCTGTCTTACGCTTTCCCGCTTAAACCTCGCAACCGATTTTGATGACATTTGGCATAGAGATAGTTTGAGTCCCGGGAAAGAACATAGGATAGTTTTTATCCCGGTTTTTGAAACAGGGACGCGCGCGATAAAGTTTTTCTGTGACAGACAAAATTCCACGCGGGCGAAGCCGCGGGCGGAAAGCTAGTAAATCTATAATTAATGTGATATCCTTGATGGATAGCGGATCAGTCTACCAGACTGGCTTGATCAATCATTTAACTACAAAATTATTTTAGCCAGCGTAAAAATTTTCACGACTATCTTGTAAAATCTTCAAGAATAACAGAATATTCGTGGAGTAAATTGATTAGCAATGTTTTCTTGTTTAATATTGGTTTGGTAGCGTATTCGAGATTTTTTGATTCATTCTTTATGTTCTCCTTAGTGATGATTAGTTTAAGGCTGGGTTGCACCATCTAACTTCAACAAACGTCCAAAAATCTGTCAAACTCCATACAAAAAGCACCTTTTATCGTCATAGTTACCGTCAAAGTTAGGTGGTGCAACTCAGCCTGAGTATCTAATGCGTTAACCCTTCAAGTAGCAGCGAATCGAGACAGTAAATACAAATTGTTACCGCGGTCTCATGCGACCACTTAGGGTTTCCAAGAGTAATTTTGTTACCTGAATACCAGCATATCCACTGGGTCCTAAGAACCGCTCGCACTCTGCAGCGATGTCGTCCCACTTCCACTCGAACAGGTGGACGTTCACCGACCTCCCTGGTACATAGTGAGGGTCCTTGTAAGCCGCACTGACAGCGGCCAGCACCACCAGCCCTAGGAGTGTTAGTTTACCCTGGAATTTATTTATTTACAACTTTATTGCACATATAACTAGGTAGAATGTCATTTGGCAGGCCGAATGAAAATTAGAGGAGAAAAATTTGTATCATGCACGAGTCCGAATCCTTCATCAAACTTTAAACAGATACACATGTACGTTCTAATGAATAAATGTACTACTATACTATACTAACCATCGCGCCTATAGCACTCACACTATACTGATACGTTTACGATTTACAATTACATACGAATAAGGGATCCGTTACACAATCTTTTGATAAATACTAAATGTTTTTATCTACATTGATCTGAATCAGATATGTAGGTGGCGTGAAGAATATTTCATTCTGATTGATTTGTTTTACGTCATTGGAGATCTAACATTTAACTTACACTTGTTTAATGCCATCTTGATTATACTACTGCCTGCCTACCTAGACAATATAACATTCCTGACATTGAAATTCTAGCGATATTGGAATCACTTCGCCTCGACTTTTTTGTACTCTCATAGAACTACTTCGCGCCATGAAGCGATTGTGCGATTGAATCTTTCACGATTGTTACTTGGTATAGTATAAATCGATATCCCCTTTGCAGTTTTATTTGCTGTTACTCACCTATCTAAATATAAGATACAACAACGATTGTCTCAGAACATACGATAACCAGATTTCACCTGATAAATGGGTTTGTAGTTGTTCCTGATTTCTATNAGTTTTTTAAAAAAAGAATATTAGGGATTACTAATGTTTGGCCAAAAAACGTTTCCCAAATTATCACATCGCAAACAACGTTTCGCAAACTTTCATTTGGCAAATTTTCATTTGGCAAAACAACTTATTGCAAATGTTTAATTCGCAAATGTCGTTTTTGGCATATTATTGTTTACCAAATTATTGTTTGGCAAAGTATGTTTTGCCAAATGTTTCATTTGGCAAAAATATTTCACGATAAACAATTTACAAAATAATTTGATTGATGCATAGAATTGAATACAAATAACCTTGTAGTTATTATTTTGTTTCGTGGGTAGTTAATATAATTTTTTTTCTATACTAATTTTCATATTTCATTCTTTTTATCGTAATTTCCAAATGATTCATCATCAACAATAAAGGTGATTCTAGCGCTCGGCGGCCGCTGCCGCGGCACGCTTCGCTCGCCTTCGCGCGTTAATGGTCACTGTTCTAACCTAACCTAACCTACTATTTTCTGCAATACCTACTTTCTGCAATCTCTTTGTTTTACATAAAATTCTTGTGAAAACCATGATGTGCCTATGCTTTGATTTGTGGGTAACGGTGGGTAAGTATGTGAAGTGTCAATTTGACGAAACGAATTATTTGGAATATAATATTTGGCAAAATAAAACATTTGCTATATAAAAATTTGCCAAGTAAAATTTGGCCAAATGATAATTTGACCAAATGAATTAGTTGCGAAAAGAGCTGTTGCTAAAAGTTCAATTGGGAAATGACATTTTGGCGATAAGTTGTTTGCGAAGTGAAATTTGGCGAAAAGTAATTTGGCCAAACGGAAGGATACCGAATATTAGTAATTCGTGAAATACTAAGTTAATATGCTTGTGTTTAGGAGTGGGCTCACCACAGTAGTCTAGAGGCTGCGGGGTTCGAACCAGCGTTCTTCGGCTATTGTCGCTTTAAATTTTCAGAGAGTGACCAAACATTACCCAGGTGTTGTAAGAGATCATGGCAGTATATTTAATATACTGCCATGAATAGGCGCAGACCACCGATTTTTAGTTGGCCGATAGTTGTGCCCGATTTTAATTTGTATGAAGAATCCGCCAAATCAAATCGGTGTAATATGCGTACTTCTATACATGCCCATAATGATTAACTGCCCGACTAAATTATCGGCCGACGATAAATCGATGGTTTTCTGCGCCTAGGCTTAGGGTTCCAAGCGTTCGTTACCTGAATACCAGCGTATCCCCTGGGTCCCAGGAACCGCTCGCACTCTGCAGCGATGTCGTCCCACTTCCACTCGAACAGGTGGACATTCACCGACCTCCCTGGTACATAGTGAGGGTCCTTGTAAGCTGCGCTGACGGCAGCCAACACCGCCAGCCCTAGGAGTGTTAGTTTACCCTGGAATTGGTTTATTTACCACTTTATTGCACATATAACTAGGTATAATGTCATTTGGCAGGCCAAATGGAAATTAGAGTAGGAAAATTTGTATCATGTGCATGCACGAGTCCGAATCCTTCCTCAAACTTTAAACAGAGGCACATGTACGTTCATTAATAAATCTACTACTATACTATACTAACCATCGCGCCTATAGCACTCGCACTATGCTGATACGTTTACGTTTTACAATTATATACGAATAAGGGATCAGTTACACAATCTTTTGATAAATACTAAATGTTTTTATCTACATTGATCTGAATCAGATATGTAGGTGGCGTGAAGAATATTTCATGCTGATTTATTTGTTTTACGTCATATTGGAGATCAAACGTTTAACTTACGTTTGTTTAATGCCATCTTGATGATACTACTGCCTCCCCTAGACAAAATAACAGTCCTGACTTGAAAACTTGAAAAAAAAAAATCGCTGCGAAGTGATTTCAGAATCGCCAGATAGAATTCTGGCGATTCTGAAATCACTTCGCATCGATTTTTTTTTTACACTCTCATAGAACTATTTCGCGCCATGAAACGATTGTGCAATTGAATCTTTCGATTGTTACTTGGTATATTACACAATACGATAACCAGATTTCACCTGATAAGGGGCCATCCATAAAGTACGTNGATGGTATTGTTTGTTCACACATACAATGTCACTATTTTGTTGCAATTTCTTACAAAACTTGCGCGCAAAAAGCAAATCTAGTAGGTATGTAAATCATCAAACTTCTAATGCTCGTAACTCAGTTCAGACTGAGTTTAGAGGTATACATGTCATAGTAAGTTTGGTTTATTACACTATTTTGTATCTAAAAAACATGATTTGGTCGATGGCCGCGCGAAAAAAAAAAGACGCCAATTTCCGGCATTGTCTTTTGCCTATGAAAATATATCCCATTAAAACACAATTATTATGATAAATTATTTTATTTCCATAGTATGCGTAATAAATAACTAAAAAGTCCTAAAATTATTATTGATTTCCCATATTTCAGGTAATTTTCCCACGTAAATAACTGAGAACACTGGTCTTTGACGTATTATTTTTTCGAGTGAATGACGTTTGATTTCAATCAATTTCAATATTTTAATGTCGGGAAATAAGTGATTGGTTTATTATTTTGCCTGTGAAATGTGATTCCTTAAATTTTGTTTGTTCGAACAGAACGGTTTTTACACAATTTCATCACACAAGACATGTCGTATTNATGGATGACCCCTAAATGGGTTTGTAGTTGTTCCTGATTTCTATCACCTAATAGGAATTTACCTAAACCTTTGGCATTATAAAAATTATAAAGTAATTTCAATATTTTATACTTACTCAGTTTATTTTTGTTCTGCAGGTTTATTACTCCAGAAAACAAGGGTTTCAAGCTGCTGGAGAAAATGGGCTGGTCAAAGGGCGAGGGCCTCGGCAAGGACAACCAGGGAGACACCGAACCTGTGAGTATCTTGCTTGTTTGTTGCCATTTGTATCTCATCATTATCTTCAGGACCTCAGATCATAGAAGGGAATAGATATGAAACGGGGGCGTGGCGCGTGTCTTCGCGATATGCCCAGAAACGAACATCGCCCACGAGGCCAGGTTAGTCGTTAGTCCATTCTATGATCTGAGCTTCAGGACCCACCTTAAGGTCTGATGATATTATTATAAATGTATGATATAATAGTAGTATTATACATTTCAGTTATTTTCCTTTAGCAGTCATCGGAGGCACAAAGTTTTATAAAATAGTTATAGACTAGTCTTCCTAAAAACAAAAAAAATGTGTACTAAATGTAGGTATCAAAATTTCAAAATGTGTATGTGTAATATGTACTCTAATTTCTGATCATAATTACCTAGTTACTAACTCCTGACAGAAATTAATGGCAAATTCTTCAGCTCAACAATTTCATACCAATTAGTTAGGTGGCATTTCTGCGCTGTCGCTCTTTCATAAAATTGAATGATTTATTGTTTCCTGTAGCTCCTTATCCGTCCATCCTATAAGCATTCTTTACGACTTTAAGTAGCTCATTTCCACTAACTAGTTATACAATACATAAGAAACGCTCTATTATTATTTACTGGATGTACTAGTTAACTAGTGTGGCCGTTATTTTTTTTATTACACATTTATGAATGCAAATGTCGCTTTATGTTTTACTTTATCTGTAACAATAAAGAATTATTTCTCCATAGACGTTATTACATGTTATTTATGTCAGATTGACCCTGAAGCCTCTATTGATTAAAAGTAGACACCAAAGTAACTAGTAATTATGTTAAAAATTTACTCTAAACTGGAGAAATGAATTTTGGCGTGTGCTGCGAGTAGGTATACAAAAAATATTTTAAGGAGTTGCTCGTCATTTTTTCGTACCTTTATCTAAGTTTTATGTATATTTCTCTTAAATACTCTTACCAAACTCTCTAAAAAATTTTAAGTTTGCTTTTTTATCCAAATGAATATACTTCGTCGTAATTACCTACTACATTTTGGTTCCTTTTCCCCCTTTTAATGGTTAAGGTGTCTTATGATTTCGTTTGTCTTTTTTCCTCAAAGTCAAAGCTAATGTTAACATTTTATTTATGGACAATATAAAGTCGTCAATCACTTTGAAGAAACATAATGAATTGTATCTCCATTTGGGCTGGACGTGACTACCTAATTAGTTCACAAGATCGTGTTGTCGTATCGTAAACCCAAAATCGTTGATATATTGAATCGTCAAAAAATGAGTATCTGATTCGCACAAAATAACTGCAGGGGTGTCGAATATATTTGTTATCAATCCTATAGGCAGTTGTGATTGTATCTGGGATTCTGGGCTTGTGTTTTGAATTGGACTTACTAGACTCAATTCAAACCCAAGCATAACCTGTGATTTGCTAAATTTTAATCGTCAGGCAATTCACAGACTTAAATCTACGCTCGACTTTGAATCGACCTCTGAGTATTGATTAGAAGCACGAGCCATAAACGATAGAATAGTCTCTAAAACATTTGAGCACTTTAATAATTTTAAAAAGGAACATTATCTGCGAATTTTATTCCATTATGATTACGATTGACGCGAAA